CACGAGTTTCCTGGAAACACAGAGACAGGGGTTAAGATCCAACCAGGATTCAGAGTCATGGAGATTTACACAAAGATCTAGGCTTTAGCGCTGACCAACTGGAACAACACTGCGGCGTTGAGGCAAGGTCTGAAGACAGCTTATATAGTGGATCCTCTGATGATCTAGATGAGCTGCAGCTGTGCAGGAGGCTCCCTCAGAGGAACCACGGCGGACTCTGCTGGAGAAAGATGGGATTTTCTCCAGCTCCCAACACCTTCCCAGTCAAAAGCCAAAAGCAGCCAAATCCCCTCTAACTTCCAGCCACTGGACTGACCCCTTATTGCATTTTTTTTACTCTGACTCCACCCTTTCATTGACTTACAGGGTCTGACCAGGAGATAACGCTTCTCTTTAGATCTTAATGTCCACAAATCATGACAAAAAGAATATTTTAGAACAAAAAAGATTTTTAGAAAGGAATTGAAGGGGACCAGCAAAGGACCCATCAAGGAGAGTGTGGGAATTTTGAATGGCTACTACTGTATAACACATCCCCTTTAGGGGGAAAATACTAAATAAAATCTGTCAATCGCATGGAGAAAGAGTCAGTTTGAGAGTCGCAGCACATTGCGTTTATAGTAAGCAGGATAGAGTGGTGCAAAAACAATGAATGAAAAATCAAAATAGAAAACTTTATCCATGATAGGAGTTTAGGAGGTCAGAAATAAGATAAATACGTGATCTTTGAGCCTCACAAGAAAAAATTAGTAAAGTACAGAGAGGACATTAGAGGAAAGTACAGCTATTCACTCTCCTTGGATAAACTTCCCAGACCTCTCTCTGAGAATCACATTTCTGCCTCAGTCAGCATAGGAACCATCCCATAGCAATATTGCTGTTTTCCTTTTCTTTAAAAGTAGTCCCCATCACATTTAGGGGGATGTTACAATATTAATTCCATTTCACGTTTTTATGAAAGAGACTGAACCTGCTTGGATCAAAAATTTTATTCTTTCTAGAAGTCCCATCATATTCAGAATTCAAACTTCTGAAAGTACTTTAAGTATGCAATTATTAGATACTGTTCAATAAATGATCAGTGTTTTAATTAAGAGTCATTTACATTTAAATGTGCTTTACTGGAGGCATCCATGTTTGTCAAAGAACACTACTGCCACCTACTGGTTTGTGACGTCACGGTGCGGTATCGGCTGTTGATCAAGTCCCAGTGCTGTATCTGGTGTTTGTCACAACGCGCTATTATCCAAGTCATCTTGAAAACATTCTTCTTCCAAATGTTGGCTACATATTACGTGTTTTTTCTTTGGCCAGAAGTTCGATGGCAAATCTTTCCTCTTCAAGTTGGCGATCCAACAACAAACCCGTCCGTGGAGGATCAGGAATCTGAAAGGTCAAATAACTATTTTTTTTTTTTCCTTTTACCCGATGTATTCCAGCATCCAGCTGCCATGCACGTGGGCATTGTCAGTTTCACTATAGCTCTGGTGAATTTCAATGGTGAAGTCCTCTGGAAATCTTCAATAATTGTTGTTGATTGCAGATGTGTCTAGTAGTTCCCAATGATTTTGCTTGTAAAGCGGGGAGAATGGCGCTAGGCTTACCGCACCGTGACGTCACTGCTGGAAGATGGCAGGAGGGAGGGGTTACTATATTTGGGCAAAAATGGCCGCTCCCAGACTCAGTGATCGCAACCAAAATGATTATTTTTAATTTTTTTACGGATTACTGCTAAATTCAAGTATAAATAATGATCCACTGATTATTCCTTGCTGAATGGACTTTTCCTTTAAAAAGAATCCTCTTTAAGTACCATCACTTTGTCTCTTCATTTATTCCTGAAATTTTCTTTAAAGAAATCTTTGTCTTTTTTCAAAAGAGAGCAAAGTATTTAGAATGCGACAGACTAAAATTAGACTGAATTTAAAATGTTTGATAATTATGAAATATAAGTGGTTTAATTAGTGGTATTATGGTCGATTGGTTCATATAACATCAGCTTTTGGCAAAAGGAATATTTCTTTCAATGAGAAAATGATGAATTGATGTGTGGCCTGTTTAGGTTTCTACCCTGATTTATTTTCTTCTGATGTGATCTTTAGTTTTAATTTTGTGAAATATGAAATAAGAAAACGCAATAAAAATCAGAATGTTGACCTTAGCAGAGGAATTGAAAACCCGTTGATAAAAAAAACTCTAGATTCCCTCTTGGTTTGTTAATGTTTGGTTCTTATCAGGTGTGAGTAGTTCAGGTCCAGAAGGTAAAGATCCTGCCATGCTGTTTATTGTGTCACTTACCCAGATCCCCGTTTCAGAAAAAGAGGCAGCCTTCCCCGAGAAGAAGGCGGATCGTTCCTCTGTTCAACGTGAATGAGCAGCTGATAGGACCTGTTCCACTAATTCAATCTAATGTCTAAAAATAATTTAACTAAATGTGAGATTGATCTCCCATGAAGAAATAGGGGTAAATAGTTATAATGTGAAAACGTTTCCATTCTGTGCATCAGTAGTAGTGTTTAAACTAAAATATCTGTGAGCAACATAACCTGCTGAATGTCAGAGGTGTACAAATGTTGCTTATCTTTACTGGAGTAATTTTTTTCAGACTTTTCACTTCTCCTTACATTTTAAAAATAGACTCCTTAGTTTTATTTCATTTAAGCTCTTTTTCATTATGGCCTGTTGGTAATTAAAAGGAATAAAAACCATCAAAATAACTAGTTTCATCCAGACAACTTCTTTGTGGTTGGACTCGGTGCTGCCCCAACTTGTTGTTCACAACATAGGAAAATTAATAGTTTTTAAAGATGATTCAAAGTTTAATTTGACACTTATACCATTAGATATAAATCTAAGAAACTTAAAGGAATAGTACACCCAAAACATGATTAGCCTTCATTTTCTACTCACCTCCATGCTGAACAACACTCTGGAGTACTTTTTTGATATCTCAAATGCATCTGGAGATCTGGGAGGCTTCTTGCTGTCTGCTGACATTCAAATAATGGAGGTCCATGGCGCCCGAGACAGAAAGGTCCATAAAAGTCCACAAAAACGTGTCAATATTCCTCCATACTGCTCGTCCAATGTAATCCAAGTGTCCTGAGTGGGTAGCATCCAGAATTTACTCGAAACGAAGTCATTTAGAATGTTTTTAGAGCATAAACAGTAGTGTATAGGATTTCCTAATAGCGCCCCCATGCGCGCTCACGATTCTACGGAAGCCGGCAGACCAAACCGGAAGAAAGTGCGCATTCAGCGTCTGGTCTGCCGATAATGCAAGCGTAGAAGAAGAAATGTGCTGTTTACCTGTGCAAAGAAAGAAACAACGAAAGAAAAATGTCTGAGGACTTCAGTGTTGAGGAAGAGCATGAGTTCTTTGCCGAGCTGAATGCGCTGGTTTGGTCTGCCGGCTTCCGTAGAATCGTGAGCGCGCATGGGGGCGCTATTAGGAAATCCTATACACTACTGTTTATGCTCTAAAAACATTCTAAATGACTTCGTTTCGAGTAAATTCTGGATGCTACCCACTCAGGACACTTGGATTACATTGGACGAGCAGTATGGAGGAATATTGACACGTTTTTGTGGACTTTTATGGACCTTTCTGTCTCGGGCGCCATGGACCTCCATTATTTGAATGTCAGCAGACAGCAAGAAGCCTCCCAGATCTCCAGATGCATTTGAGATATCAAAAAAGTACTCCAGAGTGTTGTTCAGCATGGAGGTGAGTAGAAAATGAAGGCTAATCATGTTTTGGGTGTACTATTCCTTTAAGTCTAAGGAATTTATAGAAAAATGTTCCTTTAATAGGTTAGTGCAGTAAACCTCTGTCCTTAACATTTTTCCTACAGTACTTTTACACTTTGTCAGGGTTCGGTGTTCTGCTTACTCTCTTGCACAGGTGGTTGTTGCTGACAGCTCGGCGTGGCCCCGCACCTGCGGCTCTTTGAGGCTGCTCGGCTGAGCTTACGAGGATCTTTCAGTCAGCTGAAGGAAGCCAGAGTGTTAAACCGTTGTGGTACACCTAGGCCTCTGTCCAGACAGATTTCAGAAACCTGATGTTTTGGATTCCTGGTTCTAACCTGTCTCCTGTCTCCCTCAGTTTGTTGATCTCTGGATTACTCACCTGCCTGTCTCTGTGCTCTGAGGACTGGCCTCTGAATCCCTGCTGCTCAGATTCTGCTCTGGCGTTCCCCTCGAGCCCCCTCGGTGCTATCCAGGCGGACAAGATATCCCTTACCTGGATCTACTCTGGTTCCTTCAGCTGCTCCTCAAACCTGCCTCTGCTGCGGTGCCTAAGCCCCACCTGTTGCTCAGACACCTCCTCCCATCGTAAAGCTGTGAGTTACAGAACCACATTCCTCCACTCACCCTCCCTGCATAGGTTATCCCTATCTGGCGGTAAGCAGAGCAGCAGCAGCGCAGGTTTCTTTTGTTTATCTTAGTCTTAATCAGTTTCCTCTTTCCCCCTGCAGAACTACGAACACTGACGTTCCGAAGCTCGGCTGCGGCTCCTGTTCTGAACTGTTCTGTGTAGTCAAATAAACACCTTAAACTGCTCGTTTTCCTCCAGCTGTGTCTGCTTGTGGGCCAAACACCTTAAAACCATGACACACTTTAAGTAGTCTTTCCAAAAAAAGTTAAAAAACAAACCACTGCACTTTGTTTCGCTTCCCATCCAGGAAGCTTTTTCATTCAAAGTGTCAGAAATAGCGTTGACTTGGAGGGTTTACAGAGTGGATCAAAAACAAGCCGTGTTTTGGCTTAGACGAGTGGATCCGCCCCTTTGGTCCCGCCCTGTTCCATTTGCATGTTTTCTAAGCCTGGATGACTGAGAATCTTCATCAGCATATTTAATTAATTTTACAGATGTTTTAACACTTTAATTTGAGTACAAAGCTTAAGTTAATCATCTCACTTCTACAAAAAATGTTTTTAAACAGCAGGATTTTAAATTTAACTCGAGTAATAAACCCCCCCGCCTCTGCTCCATTTACCTCGTAGAAACCTCGAACCAGCGCCTCCGTCTGCTGCACCACGCCGCGCTCCACTCTCCACTTGGCCATCCGCTCGATGTAATCCTTCTTGTTCTTCTCCGTCACCTGGAGGTGGGATCCGCCTGACTTCAACTCCCGTTCTGTCACCTAGCAAAGCAACCGCAACAAATGGGAGGGTGGGTTAAACAAACCGGTTTAATCCAGAAAGATACACTTCCTCCTGAAGCTTTTAATGGAGAAGCTGATTTTATCAACATTTTAAAAATTGATTGAGGCTCAACAATCAGCATTTTATCTCATAAACAGTACAGCATTTGAAACCAAAAATTAAGAAAAAAACACATCAGTTTGAAGCCCATCAGAGTTCATAGTCGGTCTTATTGTGTTCCTATAATTCCATGGATGCAAGAAAACTAAATACATTAACACTTTAAAGGAAGTTAAAGTTAGAGCACCAAATATGGTACAGCAGATTAGTCACATGAGGAGTTGTTTTCTCCAGGATGTGCTGCAGGCAAAATAAACATTTATTAATCAATATTTATCATATACACTCACCAGCCACTTTATTAGGTACACCTGTTCAACTGCTCGTTAACACTTAATTTCTAAGCAGCCAATCACATGGCAGCAACTCAGTGCATTTAGGCATGTAGACATGGTCAAGACAATCTCCTGCAGTTCAAACCGAGCATCAGTATGGGGAAGAAAGGTGATTTGAGTGACTTTGAACGTGGCATGATTGTTGGTGCCAGAAGGGCTGGTCTGAGTATTTCAGAAACTGCTGATCTACTGGGATTTTCACGCACAACCATCTCTAGGGTTTACAGAGAATGGTCCGAAAAAGAAAAAACATCCAGTGCGGCAGTTCTGTGGGCGGAAATGCCTTATTGATGCCAGAGGTCAGAGGAGAATGGCCAGACTGGTTCGAGCTGATAGAAGGGCAACAGTGACTCAAATAACCACCCGTTACAACCAAGGTGGCCAGAAGAGCATCTCTGAACGCACAGTACGTCGAACTTTGAGGCAGATGGGCTACAGCAGCAGAAGACCACACCGGGTGCCACTCCTTTCAGCTAAGAACAGGAAACTGAGGCTACAATTTGCACAAGCTCATTGAAATTGGACAATAGAAGATTGGAAAAACGTTGCCTGGTCTGATGAGTCTCGATTTCTGCTGCGACATTCGGATGGTAGGGTCAGAATTTGGCGTCTACAACATTAAAGCATGGATCCATCCTGCCTTGTATCAACGGTTCAGGCTGGTGGTGGTGGTGTCATGGTGTGGGGAATATTTTCTTGGCACTCTTTGAGCCCCTTGGTACCAATTGAGCATCGTTGCAACGCCACAGCCTACCTGAGTATTGTTGCTGACCATGTCCATCCCTTTAAGACCACAATGTACCCAACTTCAGATGGCTACTTTCAGCAGGATAATGCGCCATGTCATAAAGCTGGAATCATCTCAGACTGGGTTCTTGAACATGACAATGAGTTCACTGTACTCAAATGGCCTCCACAGTCACCAGATCTCAATCCAATAGAGCATCTTTAGGATGTGGTGGAATGGGAGATTCGCATCATGGATGTGCAGCCGACAAATCTGTGGCAACTGTGTGATGCCATCATGTCGATATGGACCAAACTCCCTGAGGAATGCTTCCAGATCCTTGTTGAATCTATGCCACGAAGAATTGAGGCAGTTCTGAAAGCAAAAGGGGGTCCAACCCGTTACTAACCCGTTACTTACCTAATAAAGTGGCCGGTGAGTGTATTTTAGCCTACTGGCTCATTCTTTTATTCTTTGTTTTTTGTCTATTATATCTCTTTGAATAGCTTGAGTTGCCGACCCCTATTCTAGACAGAACTTTGGGCTCAGCTTTTAAACAGACCAAAAGTCAGTTACAGATATTATTTCAAATGAGATTTTTAAAGAGGTGTCTCTGCTTCATGTGTTTAGGCAAAACTTACCTGACCAAAAACTTCCTCATTCACAGTGAAGGTGAGGTCCAAGATGTCGGTAATGTCGTTGTCTTTCATCCACTGGAGAGACTGGTGGAACTCCTCATCCAGGTACTCCAGGTCAGACAGGTCTGTGGCTCTGTGGGTTTAAGTTAGATTATGTTTATTTGGCGCCTTTCAATGCAAGAGGATCTTGAAATACTTTATATAAAAGACTCTAAAATGTTAAAACAAAATAAAGTCTACAGCTTGACCTTGAACTCTGAGGATTATCAGCATTTCAGACCCAGGTTGGATCATGCCAGCCTTCTGGTAGCAAAATTCTACTTTTGGAGAGAAAGGTATGATACTAAATTAAAGTAGATGAGGAGAGTTATTCTTTTCCTAAATCAAATCAGGTCCAAACACATAAACCTAATTACTATTACCATTTAGTAACCGAACATTACAAAAGAAATTAACCTAATCAGGTTAGCTGTTTGAACCCATTTGTTTTTATAGATATTTAAAGCAGAGTATCGTCTGCAAAACATTAAACTGTATCTTATGCTGCTAATAAAATGTCCAAGCCTACTGGATAAAACAGTGTGATCTAAGGCAGCCAACTCCGCACAGGGTCTAAGGAGGACTCACAGAAACATGGCTGCAAACCTCTAAGGTACAATTCAAAATCAAACAGTTAGGTACACTTTTTTAGTGACAGTTTTAAAAACAGATTAAAACAGATTAAAAACTGTCTATAATTTGCTGAATGTCTTATTAACACTTGGACTGAAATTATAACCTTAAAATTGAGACAACGTAACCTGACGATAGCATTAGATTCAGTACGTCCATTATTAGGGCTATCTGTTATACAAAATATAGATCTAAAACATCTCAGCCAAGAAAAGGTACAATCTATTTATTAGAAATGTGTGTTGAAGAATATGAGCAAATTGAAGCTATGATTAGAAATACATTTAAGCATATTGATGGAGGTCTACAAATTCCAACAAATATATCAGAGTTAAACCCCCCCAAACTACTGTCTAAATTATACAGGACACTGACTAAACTGGATGATACAATATCTCTTCCTATTACTAAATGGGAGGAGGATTTGTCAGCCAGCTTTGAACAAAACATCTGGGCTCAGATATGTCTAAGAACTTTAACATGACTAGAAACCCCAATCGACAATTAATACAATACAAAATCCTCCACAGAGTGCACAATACAGGTCAAAGATTATTCAAGATGGGTTTTGCACAATCTAACATCTGTCCACAGTGCACAGGCAATCATCTTGATAATTATATTCACACGTTATGGTAATGCACGCCAGTTCAGAGGTTCTGGGTACAGGTATGTAAGGACTTATCACTGTGCCTGAGTTGTAAAATCTAACTTTCCCCTCCAGTTTGCTTGCTGGGTGACTTTGAGGGAAGCTCTTTGGAAAAAAAAAATTGTTTGCATGACCTTAACTGCATTATGTATCGCAAAGAAAACTATCCTCATGAATTGGAAAAGTAAGGATAAACTCAGCATCAATCAGTACAGAGATCTGTTGTTGGATCATATTAATCTTGAGACAGTATCTGCATCCCCATCAGACCGATCTCTCTGGACTCCCTTGATCTGCTCCATCACTTAGTGTAGTGGGGGGTTGTGGGGGGCGCGGGGGCTGGTTCGGGGGTCCTTGGGTCCTGGAGGGTTCGGGGGGTGCTTGGAGTGGGGTGCCTGGCGGGTCTAGCCCTGGGGTCTGTTGCCCCCATCGGGGCGGGGCTTGGGACGCCTCTGGGCGTCCTACGGCGGCCACATGCGGTGCTCTTGGGGGGTTTTGTGGTGGTGGACGTGGACTACTGGCCTGGTAGCTGTGCTGCTGCTGGGTGGGTCCGGGGTGGGTCCGGGGGTCTGGGATCCCTGGGGCGCGTTGCCCTCGGGCAGGGGCCCCGGCGGGGCATCGGGGGTTCGGGTTCTGTGGGGATTGCTGCTTGGGGTCTGGGCCGGTGTACGCCCAGCTGTCTGGCCCTGCCGGGGCCTCTGGTGTGCTGGGGGGCCTCTGGGCCTGTTGGGATGGGGGGGGCACAGACATTAACACCTATGGCAGATGCTTAGCCCCTCAGGGGTTTGCACTCTGGTAGTGGGGGAAAGCGAGGGAGGGGAAGTGGCAATGATCTCGGCCTGGATGTCTTTTCTTGCTTGTGTGGTGAGTGGTTTGAATGTTAATGTAGGGGAGGGATCACATCTCCGGAGGAGGGGCGGGGAATGGTGACGGAGGGAAGAGGTCTTAGAAGGACTTCGGGTCTGGCTCCCTGTCTCGGTCCTGGTGCTAGCCGTCCCCTGGTGGGGCTTAGTCCAGGGTGGGGGGCTCTGCGTGGTGTGTGCGGGGTGGCCGGCCAGAGTTGTCCCCCCTTTTTTATTTTTTGGATGGACAGGAGGGGTGGGGGTGTGGTCGGCCCTCTGGCCGGCTGGCTTGTAGGTGCTGCCGCCCCTGGTCCCTGGGCTTTGTGGTGTGACTAGTGGGGCCCCCCTCTCCGTTGGGGCTTTCGGGGAACGGGGGTGCCTATTGGAGTCAGCGGGGGAGCTGGCTCCCTGGGAGTGCATTAAGCACCCCAGTCCTTTGCTCCCCATCCCCGGAATCCTCCCTCTGTCTGCTCCATCACACTGCCACACATGTAGACACTAAGGGTTCTGGGTTGTCGAATGGGGGGGTGCGCTGACACCGCCTGTCTCCCGGAGGGGGGGTGAACTGTGCTGGACATCCCCTTTTGGTACTCCTAGTTTTAATTACGCCTGAGAGCAACATGCAAAAACACCACATTCGAGCAGGCGCAGGGAGGATTGGGGTCTTCTCACACCCCTGTTCTCCAGCTGCCATCCAGAGTCTGTGGTCTGGAGGAAAAGCGAGCCGTCTGGTCCGTGGTCTTGGCGGGGGGAGGCTGCGGGGCATAGGTGGCTTGCCGGGCTGTCACCTCTGCTCTCCTCGAAGAAGGTTGGACGGAAGGGCGTGTAGTGGCTGGTTGAACTAGTTGGGGGTTGGGGGCTCTGGTTGGGTGGCCTGCATGGGACTCCCCCCATGGGGGACTTCCTCGTGGCTGTCTCTGCTCCTCCCTTGGTGGGGGTCGGATTTCCTGGGCTGGCCCCTCCTTGGGGCCTTCGCTCTTGGGGTCCCTTTGGGTGTCTGGGGCTTTGGGTCTACTCTTTTTTTTCTCTTCTTCTGTTTTTCCTCTTCTGTTCTATTTACATTGCAGTGTCCATATAAACTGTAAACATCCCTGCATAATTATGATAAAGCAATTTATATGCATGAAACAAGTGGAACACTATGGCAATATTCCTACTGCTCCACTTGTGAAAGTAAAATCTGTTGGGCTCTTTTTGGCATCAAGACAATTATTTTTATTGCTGCATTGCCAGACAGGACACTGTTAAAAAAAAAAAAAAGAAATGTGTGTTGAAGAAATATATCTACGCTGTTTCTCCTAATGTGCTCTCTTTTACCTTTGATAAGCTCTATATGTTGAAAGAAGATGCAAAATAGTTTTTCTTGTACTAACAGTCTGAGCAGAGCCTTGTAGAAGGGTCTAGTGAAGAAGGCATCCAGGAGGTACTGATGGATCAGAGCCAGGCCCAGAATACGGCCACTGAAACGGAACCTGGATCAGAAACACATACATGTAAATTAGACCAACCTTAGTAGACACCAAGTTTGCATGCATAGGTGGCCTGCTTAATATGGAAACATCACAGTCTTCCAAGTTCTCCACAACCTGGGAGTTTTATTTGAATTTATTGAAAATTTAAAAAGAGGTAATGCAACTTACTACAATAGTCAGGTATTTAAGTTTAATGAAAAATTCATAGTAAAATGATTTTTAAAGATATAAAAAAAAAGATGAAGAAAACAGTGCAGTCTCAAGAGGTGGGGTTTCGTGAAAAGTAGATAATCCTAGATGGTTCAACTACAACCTTCAACCTGACATTAGCAGGTAGAACCAGATCCACATGTGGGTGGGAGAGAGGCTAAGGGGGCCTGGAAAGCAAGCCATGAGCACTGTACCTTTTAATTTTAATTGAGTAACATTGCTAGAAAGTATCACAAGCCTTAATTGTAATTTCTGGCTGCTCTACAGTAGAATCAACCCCCTAAAGACACCACGGGGTCTGTCAATTTTACAGAAAGAACTCTATTTCACTCATTGCATCCCTGTCACGCTGCTGTGTTTTGTTGTCAGAAATTTTTTTATTTCTCTTCTATTATATATTACTTTATCCAATTTACTCACTATAAAAGTTTTCACTCAGTCTGTTTCACCTTGAAGGCCACACCATTCTGTGCGGGATTGTGTTTGTAGACCAGACATAGCTTCTTCCTATAACAAATCAGATTCTTTCTAGAGGTTTATTCACAACATGTTACTGTTTAACCAAAGAGTCTGTAATTTTTTTTACTCTGACTACTTTCCATTGTTGTAAGAAAGGGGGAACGAACCCTGCTCATGCAGAACAGGGCAGAATGCTGTGCCATAATGGCTGTATGATGAACTGGTCTCTCTTTGCGAAGATATGAATAAATGTGCCGACTGAGTGAAATCCATCGATCTCCGTTTATTTAACTAGGATGAATAGTTGAATACTTTTTTCCCACAACAGTTTACAGAAGAATCCTTGTGTACATGCACATTGAGCGATTTGCCCACGACGGTCGGGACTCCTTCTCCTGACCTCACAATTCCTGATCAAGAGGTGGTAGTGAGAGGCTGATCGCCCCTTGTTACCCCCTGTAAACTACACGACTCACAACGCACAATCAGGCTAAAGGTCGGCTCGGTCGAAAGATTCTAGCATGACTGGAAAATCGGCCCGTTAATTGCACAGTGTACACCGGGCTTTAGTGGACCTGTTCAGAAAACACGTGGCCTGTCAAGAAAAGAACACAAGACTGTGCTCTCTGGAAAGTACACTAATGGTTTTCCTCCTGGATTGATGGCATACCTGTAAGGATGCTGGCATTAGCATTAGCCCGCCTTGCTTTCATCACTCGCATCTCTATCCTACTAAAAGGGGCAATTCCACCAAACAGGGACACTCACGACTTACTGTGTAAGAGACCAATTAACCATGGCTAGCTGCTAATGTTGCTCATGCTACATCCGCATCCAGATGGACATACCTTACCTTACATGGACATACCTTAGCCAGAAAAAAAGAGGTATAAAAAGCATTCTGAATGAGCTGTATTTAAATTTCTAAATGTTTTTAAAGACCAATTCATAAGGACTGTTGGTAAAATACCAGGCTATGACTCTTTCAACTCCACTTCCCATTTTTGCACTACTTGTCACATTAAAAACAGACCATTCTAGTTTCACACCCCAATAAAACTAAAGAACCTGTAGGAAAACGTCCCATTTAAAGCTCAATCTCGTCTATAGGACGGATGAAAACTAGTCAGATTATATACGGGGTCACAGTGTTTTTAGTTACTTTGTTGACGTTTACTCACCATTCCAGATGGTTCTCAACAAAAGCTGACATGGGGCTGATCTGAACGGTGTACGTGTCATTGGCTGAGTATTCAAAGAGGCCGTAATATGGATTAAAAAGCTCTTGGGACAGCAGGAAGAAGAATTCCCTGGATGGGCCACTGTAATCTAAGCTGCAGATGACAAGGAAACGTACAGGTGGGTCTCGAGGCTCAGGCCGAAGGGTTAACATGAGTAGCATGGAGCGGAGAAGCCAGGCTTACCCCTCCTCCCCTAAGAAGGTGACGTAGAGTTTGTTCCTCTGCAGCTCTTTGCGAGAATACGCCATCACTTGATTAAAGGTTCCCTCCAGGAGGTGTTCTCTTCGGATCAGAAGCCTGTAGGAACAATTGAAAAACACTTCACATCATCCTCTGCTTTTCAGTTTCAGTGTGAAGTAAGAGATTCTCCTTCTTACTTGATCTTGCCCGGTCCTTGGCCATAGCCTTTAGCCTCAAGTTTCCGGTAGAAGTTTCGGAGTTTGGCTTCAAAGTCTCTGCGGTAAGGAGCTGGTGCCCTGGCTCTTTGCAAGCCTGCAGTCAAACACATCAAATATTTCAGGTTATAATCTTAAGGTGTTTTGCCCAGCCACTAAATGGGATGTCACACCACAGAATATAGCGGGATTGCTTTGTGCAGTAAGCCTTCACCTTTCCTCTATATTGAGGCAACCTACTAAAACCTATAAATGCTATAAATGCAGGTAATATATTTGTCTATGTTTGTTCCCATTAGTCATTGATCGGCTAAATTTACGCCCAAACACCAGATGTCATTTAGACCTAGGATTTTAGGCTAACTCTGGTCCGTCCAACATATTCTTGATTAGTCCAGAAATTATTGATGAAAATTGGGCTCTGTTTGGTCGGTCTGATTTTCTCCCACTTTAGTCCAATAATAGACGTTTAAAATATGTTGAAAATCCAGTTCTCAACACCTTTTAATGTTCTGAAAAGTATGGCTTTTTGATCTTTACTTTTCAACCAAATGTAGAACGCATTTCATGCACAAATCATGTTGTCTTTATAATGTCTATTCAATCAGTTTTTGCTCTGAGGGAAGAAATTTACAACAACATTGTTTATTTATCTTTAATTGGCGTAGGTAAATAAGATGATGTGCAAATGGAATGATTACATCTTAAAATAAGATAATTAGATAATATGCACTTGAAACAAGACAATACAATTGTTTTTTCATATGAATGTAAATTGTCTTGTTCCATTGGCAAAGTGTCTCACTTTCCTCCTCAATTCAAGAAAAAAAAGCATTTATTTAGATTTAAATTTTTCGCAGTGTAGAACGTTTTTTTTTTCAGTCGGTAGCAAAAATCCTTATTTTTGCATTTTGCTTTTGCTTAGATAGCTTAGATGAGCCTTTGAATGATATATTACCTACTGTAAATAAAGTCAAAAAAAAAAAAAGTTAACAAGTCAAAAAAAAAGGTAAAAAGCTAATCGTAAAGTTAAAAAATTAATAAGCCTGGTTAACAATTATATTTAGGTTTATAAACTAAAAAATGTCAGTGCCTGTATCAGCATTAATGCCTTTAAAGGAGAATTCCGGTTTTTAACACTTTTAGCCCATTTTCTGTAGTGTCCAGGATGAAATCGAATGATCGACACCAAAATTTTGACAATTGGTCCTGTCTCTGCTTTTTGGCTCATTTAGAATCCACCCCTGGCTGCTTCAGAACGGCTTCCATAGTGCATGTCCGATAATGTCCTTAAAACAACCTTAAACGTTCTTTTTTTTAAATATGCTACTCACCGGGTCGTCAGCGCTGTTCAATGACGTTCCAAAAAAAGTTTCGGAAAGAAAAAACGTTCCTGTAGTGTTTTATTTAGCATTTTGTAAATCCCATTGAGTTCTGTTGGAATAGTCAATATCCCTCCGCCACCGGAAACGGAAATGGGGCCTGTTTACACAGTTGTAGTCTTTTCGCTTCAGTCTGTGTACTCCGACGTCGAGAATCAAGAATCCACCTTTCGTATTCCATTTTCAGAGTTTTTTAAAGTGTTTAACAGAGACGTTAGCACCTCGACGTCGGAGTACACAGAGTGAAGCGAAAAGACTACAACTGTGTAAACAGGCCCCATTTCCGTTTCCGGTGGCGGAGGGATATTGACTATTCCAACAGAACTCAATGGGATTTACAAAATGCTAAATAAAACACTACAGGAACGTTTTTTCTTTCCGAAACTTTTTTTGGAACGTCATTGAACAGCGCTGACGACCCGGTGAGTAGCATATTTTAAAAAAAAGAACGTTTAAGGTTGTTTTAAGGACATTATCGGACATGCACTATGGAAGCCATTCTGAAGCAGCCAGGGGGGATTCTGCATGAGCCAAATAGCAGAGACAGGACCAATTGTCAAAATTTTGGTGTCGATCATTCGATTTCATCCTGGACACTACAGAAAATGGGCTTAAAGTGTTAAAAACCGGAATTCTCCTTTAAGGTTATGTTGGAATAAAAAAAATTTGTTTCTTTCACTCTCAGAGTGTTATTTATGATTTTCGGTCAAGTTGGCGTTTCTCGTTATTACATTGTGACTAATTTCTGCCATCAAATTATCCATATATTTTTTTATGTAAAAAAGGTAATAATGTCTTTTCCTAGATTCCAAATATTGATTTTCAAAGTATTTTTCTTTTTCCGTTGTTTTCTCTCTGCTATGGCATAAAGCAGTTTATATCGTACATTAGAGCTGCAGTAGAGTCTCCTAGGTCTGCTAGTCAGGAGCATCAAGCGCCCCGCTGGTTATCTGGGGTCAAAGTTTACCAGAGCAGAATTTGTTTTCCTGCAAACAGGCAGAGCAGCTAGAGATCAAAGCCTGCATTCATGGTTTCAGTTTTTCAGACTCACGTTTTTTTCCAAAGACAATAAAAGAGGAGCAATTACAAGCTGAGCTTTCCTGCTCTGACCCACTTTCCTTTTTTTAGAAGCTCCCATCAATACACACACACACACACACACACACACACACAGACACTGCGGTGGTCTCCTTTAGATGTGCACGGGCCATTAGGAAAACAGGGACCCAGCAGGCTCAGCTGAACAGTGAGGACTGCTGCTGTTTGTTTGGTGTGACTCCATGAGAGCCGAGTCCTTCTGTCGGGATGAAGCGAGAGCGGAGAGAGAGAACCAACCAGGGGAGTTCTGCGGGGAGCAAACGGGCGAGCAGCGAGGGGAGAAGCCGAAGGCGGGGTGGATGGGATGTGGGGGGATGTACGACATGATCTCCTCTTCAAATAAACTGCAAAGGCAGAAGCAGAGGAAAAAACGGCATCGTCAGCACAAATTAAATATTTAGTTTGCAAATTAAATATTTACACATTACACATTATGTGTAATTTCCAAGCGTCTGTCTTTGTTTGGGTAAAGATGTGAAGGGCTTTAGCCTTTCTGTAGGGTTTTAATCAGTGAACAGAGCAGAAGCATCATGCTGTGGGGGCTGATGCTTGTACTTTTTTTACTTTGCAAAGTAAAAAAAAAGAGCCGACTGAGTGAAATCCATTGATTTCAGTTCATTCAACGGGAGTGAATAGTTTAATACTTTTTTCACACGTCACAAGGTAGTTCTTCATCTTCCAGTTGACGAGTACAACCAGCGCCATCTCTCAGGGCTGAGTCCAACGTGTAGTTTTTGGATGTGCATAGTGAGCAGGTAGATCGCATCACAGCATTGGGCCGAACAGTGTAAGAAGATACATCGTGATCTGGGAACATTCAAACCCTGCGCTGCCGTAATACAGTTTGAGCTGTAGCTGAGTACAATGATGGAAAATATCGTACAATGTTAGCCCAGCTTTAGTTCCAGGGAAACTAACTCTTTAGGATAATCTGATGGTCCTGATTCTGCAGGGTCTCTTTGGGAAGCGTGCCTTCTTGGGCAGTGCAGCAAAGAACAAAGCAAGAGGCGTGAAGACACGGATGAGCCACACAATTCAATCACAGTCATCATTATTAGATGCTGTTTTCCATCTCCCTGATGCAGCCGAGCATCTGAATAGTAATTCCATTAGACTTTAAAAGCTGTGAGCAGGTGCTGATTTACCTTAGCAGGATAACGAGGTCAGCATCACATGAAAGCTTCTCCACACCCTGAGGACCTTCTGTCCGAATGTAGTGGATCTTTTCTCTGAGGAAACAAAAATACAAAATGCAGTCATTGAATGGTGATGTTCCTGCCTGCAAACCTTGAGCTCTGCTGCTAGCATGAAGGCAGAATTCTGCCAATGGGGGAAAAGTGTTATATCATAACTATACTATACTCATAAAAGGCGATCTATTTAAAACACACACATTAGCTACTCTCCATTGACATTTTAAATGCTTTATGTGTGTAGATGTTTGTTTCTCTGTTTATTTTTGTATCTCTGCCTCTGTCTCCTCGTTCAACGAGTCGATGCAATCATCTGCTAATCAGACAGCTGGAAACGCATACCAAGGACCAATCACAGCTAGTTTTTGTCTGTGCACTTCCGCTTGAGGTTTGCGCAGGTTCGCGACCTTCCGACGCATAGTCAGGATTTTTTTGAGGTGCGCAACAACAGTTGCAGAATCTCTGCGCGGGGGCGTGGTCGCACATAGAGACAGATTTGATGGTAGCAGAGGCTATGCGTCAGAAGCATACATTGGCCCTAAGAGCATGCTTAAGACATTCCTTTTTGATAAAGCTTATAGTTAGAGTGGCTCAGGTTATCCTGAGCTATCTCTTTAGTTATGCTGCTATAGGCTTAGACTTATGGAGGACATAGGGACCCCTTTTTCATCATTCTGCTTCTCTGATAGAATCTGATAGCTTAATCTCTAACATTCTGCTCTCTCTGCTTTTTCTCATAGTAGCTTCATCTGGTCTGTTCCTGTTTGGCTGTGACTCCATCCTGGAGAGAAATATCAGCTGTGCTGCTGCCATCAACACCTTTGTTTATAGATGACGGAGATTGGCCTTTTTTCCAGTGTAGTCCTGTTTCTCAGACTGTGTCTGGCTGGATGTGCTCTCTTCATCCTCTGACATGGGAGTTGGCTCGGAGCTTGTCTGCCTGGCTGTGTTTACTGGATGGGGCCGCCTTTTACAGTTACCTTTTGTATCTCTGCTTCTTTCTATATCTCTGCTTCTGTCTCCTTGAACCCCAGTCGGCCTCGGCAGATGGCCGCTCACACAGAGCCTGGTTCTGCTGGAGGTTTCTTCCCGTTAAAAGGGACTTTTTCCTTTCCACTGTCGCTACAAGCATGCTTAGTGTGAAGGATTGCCTTCAAATCAATGAGTAGATGCAATCAACTGGTTTTAATTAGATAAAAAACTTTGAATCAATTTGACTTTATGATCTGGTTGCACTGTAAAATGCCTTGAGATGACATGTGTTGTAAATTGGCACTTTATAAATAAACTTTATTAAAATGAATAAATTCAATACCCTCAACATGTTGCATGTATGAGAGGGTACCCCTTCTCCGCACTCGATGCATGTGTAAAGTGTTAAGCCCTGAACACACCAGTTGTGTACGTCTTTTTAATCCCTGATTCAATTTTTATCTATGTCACATTGACTGCCTATAGGAAGGCAGGGTGAGCAGATCTGTGTGGATTGCTTTCACTTCTGTCTCTGTGCTATTCACAAATTAAAACAATTTCTCATATTCGACTTGGACAGATGAAAAGTTATTAAAAATAAAGAAACAAAAAAACAACCAGGGCAGCATCTCAAACCAGAACAGATTCACAATGTTCATACATTAAAAACATGCTGAGATCAGTAACCCTTGTCCAAATATTGACTTCATTCTTCCAGCTTTCGTACGGCATTCTTTCTTCAAACGTTGGCAGAACTCTACAGTCAGCAATCATCTTCTCGATGTTTTCAGAAGTAACAACATGTTAAGTCCACTTTACTTACAGACACTGACTCTTTTTCTCACCAATCCAACAAATGCCATTCCCGTTAACAACTGACACACACCAACAAAGGGAACAGCTATTAGCAAGATGCTTTGCTGACGCTGCTAACAGCGACCAATGAGAAAGTGGTACTGACTCAAGAGATGTGATCTCCTGAAAAGTAGCCAATCACAGCATGTTTACTTTCTCAGGCTGCTCAGGCTACCCAAACTGGGCGTTTGTCAAATCGGCAGAATATAAGGGTGAGAAGTTAAACTCAAAAACATCTCCATCCCATATGTTGCTGGAGTCTCTGAGAAACTCAAGAGGATTTTCTCTAAACACAAAACCCGAGAACATTTCAATCCAAACAAGACCCTTAAACAGAGACTAGTAGATCCTAAAGACAAAACCACCATACCAAATATGAGCGGAGTGGTGTCTGCCGTTCAATGCAGTGAGGATCTTTTATGCTCTGATCTGTATATTGGAGAAACCAAACAATCTCTCCACAGACTCATGGACCAACACAGAATAGCAACCTTCTCGGGACAAGATGCGGTACATCTATACCTGATGGACAAAGGACCACTTTGGACGACCAGAATGTTAACATTTTGGACAAAGAGGACAGGTGGTTTGAGAGAGGGGTGAAGTAAGCCACCTATGTTAAGAAAGAAAGAACAACCTTAAACAGAGGGAGCTGACTCACATTTCAAATACCTACAATGCAGCAACTGAGTTGATTCCTTCCTGCTATCATTGCAGCCCCAACCCCTTTACAGAGGAACAGAAGACCTCGCCTGTTCAGCCAGGCCAACAATTCCCTTTAACAAACCCCCCCTTCAGAGACATAGACAGGAATGGGGCATTGCACGCTAACAAAGAACCTAATCGACCCCCATTCAAAGGGGTGGACGCGTTCGTCCGTTTCTACTTGAATGTTTTCTAAACATAAACAAGGCTTTGTTTGGCTACTGTTCAGTTCAGTTCAGTAGCTTTTATTTGTCCCAGTAATTTTTGTGCAGTAGTAGTACACCTTTCACACACATGTTCACATTTCACAAATCACAGATTAAAAAATAAAAGAAACACATAAATATTTAAAAAGATAAAAGTAAGGTGGATAAAGTAACTCAACACTATTTCTGACTATTTAAATTGAAAAAGCTTCCTGGATGGGAAGCAAAACATCTTTAAACTTGGAAACAAAGTCCAGTGGGTTGTTTTTTTTTTTTTTTACTTTTTGGGAATTTCTAAAGCTGGCTATAAAAGATGACATTAGCGCATAGAAAAATGTGCAAACATGAGGAGAAGATCATCTACAGGAGCATAAAAAGCAACAAAGCACAGAGAGGTAGCATTAACCCATGTTGTGACATATCTGGGACCTCAGGGTTTAGGATCTGCACACATAGACTGCTCAAAATGTGAATGCTTTTCAAATAAACCTGCTCATATGGGTATTTATTGCAAAGAGCACTTTTGGCTGAATTCTGCCCTCATGTTCATGTCATTTGGAGCCGTTCTGAAGATATAAAGAATACATTATGAACAGTTTAGTTTCTGCCTTCAACTTGTTACCCATAGGAAGAATATAACCAAACGGAATATCTTCAGAACGGCTGAAAATGACACAACTCATATGGGTGAGTAGAACATGATGTAATAACATGAAATCAATGTAAAAAAATAAGCGGCGTTCTCCTTTAAGTCTAAATGCATTCCTGTTACTATCTTTGTTGAACTATAAACATCTGTAAAAGTCCGGTGCATTGGGGGCACAAAATGTCATTAAATCTCTTTGCATTTAGATTTTACAATTTATACTTTTTTGAAAAAGTTTTATGTAAACAAATGTTAAAGTTCTTTCAAAGCATATACAGCTTTCATCCTTCTGGTCGTCCAGTTCTGTAGATGCTTACCGTAGAGCGTGATTTCTGCATAGACTCGGCTGTCGCTCCTGTAGCATGTCGAATATGTTTGACTGGCGCAGGAACGCCACTATCTTGTCATTGTAAGCTATAGGAAAAACACAAGCTGTTAGAAGTTGCTCTATGCAGCTGGAAGCTGCTAACACGCCATGTACATTTTGTTCAATTATTGTTGGTAACAATACTGTAGGTAACAAATTTGTAAATGTAAATGCAATCCATAAATGAAAATTTGAAAAAGGATTTTAATCATTTTTTAAAACATTTCTTTAGGCTATTTTTGATGGATATTAAAATATGATGTTTCTATGAAGCAGGCTATCCAGAAATATCTCCATACTTCTGCTGCTATAGGCTTAGACTGCTGGAGGACAAAGGGAACCCCTCGCATCATTCTGCTTCATTCTATCTTTGAACTCCAGTATTTAGTTGCAAATTGAAGGATGAGGTTAGTTTAATCCCTAACGTTATCCTCTCCCTCTCTTTTTCATCATAGAAGCTTCATCTGGTCTGTTCCTGTTTGGGTGTGACTCCATCCTGGGCAGCCCAGTAGCCTGGTGTTCCTTCCCACTATTAGTTTCTACTATTAGATGCACTTTTTACCTTTATCCTCAGTTTATTCAAACCCTCGGTTCTTTTTCCAGCTCTTTATTACATTTTTCTCCTTCATTTGAAATGTCCTTATTCAGAAAAACAGCGCCATGTGTTTTCATATCCTGAACATCCGCCGGGACAGAAAGGTCCTCAAACTGCGATAGAACAGCTGATTCACAGTTACCAGCCACCTCAGGAGGCTTCAGTAGCTCTAGCTTATACTGTATCTAACATATTTTTTTTTTTTTTACAAATAATAACATCTGGCTTTTTTTCAGTGCTTAGTACTCTTTCTCTCCTAGACATATTTATATGACTTTACTGTGACTAACTGTATGTGCTCTCTCTTATCTCTTTTAAATGATAACTGAGTAACTGCAATCAACTGGTTTTCCATAGATAAAAACTGAACCAATGTGACTGTCTGATCTGGTTGAATTGTCTCTGTAAGGTGCCTTGAGATGACGTGTATAGTGAATTGGCTCTATAGAAATAAACTGAAATTGAATTGAAATTAAAACGGGCTCAAAGCTTGTATGATTAACTGTTTCTTTCCCAGACCCATGAAGCTAGCTTACTGTTACCTTTTCTAACATAGAAAGTATTTATAGATCAGTGCTTCTATGTTAATGTTCCATGTCTGCTTCTGTCTCCTTTTCAGTAGATGGCACTGACCCTGGTTCTGGTTCTGCTGGAGATTTCTTTCTTATTAGAAGGGAGTTTTCCTCTCCACTGTCACTGCATGCATGCTTGGTATGAGGAATTGTTCTAATTATAGTTACAGTGGCTCAGGTTATCCTGAGCTATCTCTATAATTATGCTGCTTAGACTTCTGGAGGACATAGGGACCCCCATTTCATCATTCTGCTTCATTCTCTCTCTATTCTCCCACTCTACAGAATCTGTTAGTTCAATCTCTAACGTTCTGCTCTCTCTGCTTTTTCTCATAGTAGCTTCATCTGGTCTGTTCCTGTTTGGCTGTGACTCCATCCTGGAGAGAAATATCAACTGTGTTGCTGCCATCAACACCTTTGTTTATAGATATTTGAGATCGGCCTCTTTTTCAGTGTAGTCTGGTTTCTCTGACTATGATTAACTGGATGTGCTCCCATGCTCTGGCATGGGAGCTGGCTCGGAGCTCATCTGCCTGGCTGTGTGTTTCCTGGTCTGTGCCGCCTTTTACATTTGCTGTTTCTATGTCTGCTTTTGTCTCCTTGAACCCCAGTCGGCCTCAGCAGATGGCCGCTCACACTGAGCCTGGTTCTGCTGGAGGTTTCTTCCTGTTCAAAGGGAGTTTTTCCTCTCCACTGTCACTACAAGCATGCTAAGTGTGAGGGATTGTATTTGAGTCAATGAGTCGATGCAATCAACTGGTTTTCCTTAGATAGAAAACTTTAACTGGAGGATCTGGTGAACTGTAAAGTGCCTTCAGATGCCATGTGTTGCTAATTGGCACTATAGAAATAAACTGAATAGAATTGAATTAATCTGACTGGATTATCTGATTAAACTCACTCTGTGAACTTGAGATGAGGACACATCTTCATATCACTGTATGTATCATAGCAAGGGCTAAATGAGAATGCTGGGCTTACAGAGAGCAGTGAGTTGCTGTGGGTCAGTATGATGGTGGCTCCGTATGGCTGCTGCCAGGCTGATACCGGGCCGGGCTAACAAAGAAGCCCCACGATTCCTGGACACCTCAGAGGCCTGAGAACAAAACACACACCTGTCACTGCCACTGCTGAATGTTTTAGGATCATTTTAAGGAAAAAAATAAAACAGAAACAGTCAACCCGTCCAAGACGAGCAGTTCACTGCAAAAAATATCTCAAAATAAGTAAAGATGCTTTAAATTAAATGTATTTATTCTTGATTTGAGCAGATAAGGTTATTTGTCAATGGAAAGAGTATTTTTACTCTTAAAAAATATTATTTGATAATATGCATTTGAAATGAGACAATGCGATATCTTTCTTATTTAAAATGTAAAATATGTTGTTCCATTGGCAAAGTCTCACTTACCACCTCAATTCAAGAAAAATATGCAGTTATCTTAACAATAAATGTCTTATTGAGATGAAACGTTTTGGCCAAATGGGAGCAGAACCATACTGCACCTCTCCAGCACTGTAGCTGCGGAGCCTCTGCAGGTGCTGCTTGTGGGCCAGGTAGCCCGGCAGTCGGCCGTTCTGCAGCGGGATGCGAGGGTCGATGAAGGTTGTCGCTCGGCTGTTGTGATCCACAAAGAAAGACTGGAGGAAAGAAAAGGCAGAGAGACATAAAAATGAATGATTGGTTCTGAAGCGATGTTCTGTCAGATGAGCAGACCTCGTCAGACCACCATACCCATAGTCAATACCAGTTTATTCCTTTAGTTTTGTAGAAAAAATACCTTAACGGGCGTGTATCCTATAGACGTACAAAAAATATATATATATATTCTTAATTACTTACTTTTTGGTGTTTTTTAAAGCATATGTTGATCTGACCTTAAATTGTTTTTTTCTACGCATGGACTAAAGGGAAACGTTTTGTCACAAAACTAAAGGGATAAGTGGAAATCTGGCGTCTTGCGCCTGCATATTGACTATGGGTATTCTGGTGTGGCAGAACACCGGGCTGTGTGTAGCAGTGCTGCCCATAATGCAGAGACAGAAAAAATCCTTAAGCTTCATTTACGACCAGCAGCATATATATATATATATATATATATATATATATATATATATATATATATATATATATATATATATATATATATATATATATATATATATATATATATATATATATATAGGACCTTTGAGCACGCTGAGATCACTCTCTGAGTAAGGAAGTCATCTTCACCACGACCCGTTCAAGTACCACAGGAAAACTGAGTTGCAACCAGCGGCTGCATTATTCCACTCCGTCCGAGTTCTGGGTAAACCCTGTTCCACCCTCCACTGAATCAAACTAAGGCCCCATCCACACGAAGTCAAAACGAACACGAAACGCTAATATTTTCCAGAACGTTTGTCGTAAAGACGGAGACGTAAAATAATTGTGATCGTCCACACGAATGCATGAAAACGCTGCAAAATGTATGCCAGGCCTATAAGTGGCGCTGTGGTGCCAAAGCAAAAATAGGCGACGAAATGTTGGGCATGCGCACTAAAATTTATACATGGTTGCCCTGCGGGTCCATTTTCGTGGTTCAGTCAAATTCAGGTGCTGAACTATGTCGTCGATATTGCTCTGTTCTTCCTGGAGATATTCCAGAAGAAGAAGATTCTGTTGTAAGCCCGACAGCAGGGTGAGTAGCATGAGCAGCAACCATTCAACACAGTACGGCGCCATTGTTGTTGTGATACTGTGTCGTGCATGCGTGTTTAGAGGCGACGCTATGACGCATGCGTGTAAGAAAAAAAATGCAGTTAGAGCTTAAAGATGGAAACGCAAAAACGGCATTTCAAAATCTTCCCACTCTGAAGGCTTTATAAAAAAAAGATCGTTTACAGACCCCCGAAACGCCGGCTTCGTATGGATGAGAGGCTGGTTTGGTGAAAAATTTGTGCGTTTAGGCCAGGGTTTGACTTCGTGTGGACGGGGCCTAACTCTGGAAGACCATCACACAGACTGGAGTCTATGTGTCTCTTCTTCTCTGGAAACATGAGTGGCAACAAATCCTCTCCTTCAAGATTAACAACTCCAATTTCCCACTGAGCTTGAATCTAACAGTCTCTCTTCCGCTCGTCTTCCAGTTTCCAGCTGAACTCTAAATAATCTTCAATAAAACCCGTTGAACTTTTATACTGTGTCTCTGTTTGGCTTCACTGCATGTGGGTCCGAGCCTTAGAAAAATCATGACAAAAAATACTCATTCCATTGGGAAATCATCTTATTTACCTGCTCAAATTGAGGGTAAATACACTTAATGTAAGACATGTTTGCTTATTTCTAAATCGGTCTGCAGTGTGTTTGTGTGGCAGGAATCAAGATGGGATGAAATTAGATCATTTTTTATATTTTAGTAAAATAGGCAGAAAGGCTTTCGGTAGTTAAATAGTTTGGATTGTTTTCCTACTTTAATGAATAAAAATAGTGTTATACATCCAATAAGTTGGACACTACATGTTTTTTTAATGATCTGAAACTACAAAAAAAAAAAAACTAAAAAACAGAATAAATCTGAGAAGGAGAGTTAAAGAAATGAAAGGAGGGATGCTACCTTTCCTTGGGGGTCGGTCTTGATTTCCCAGCCTCTTGGCAGCTCCAGCTGTGTGTCTGCAAACTTGTTGAGGAAGACGACCAGGTCCCGGTTGTGCTGATAGCGCTCAAAGTTCCTGGCGTCACGGCGGACCTTCAGGATCATGTGCTTCACGCAGCTGCTGCTGGTGAACATGCGGTACGCTGCCTGCAGAGGGAAACCGCAGTTCAGGAGGATGTTCCTGTTCTGACCAAACTCTATCTACCCTTAAGTTTCATGAGGAAGGCTCACATAGTTGCTGTGCAACACCGTGAAGAACTCGGGGTGTGTGATGAACTTGACGGCTGGCGACTGAAGGAGAAAGGTGACCTTCTGATGGTTGACGGGGGAGGAGGGGCCTGCAGGTGGGCAGGGAGACTGGTCAGGCTAAATCATACTAATCCCAAAGGGTGTGCTGCTGTTGGATGACAGACTGACTCACCTGTCTGAGGCAGCTCAGATTCACCGTCTGAACTCCGACTACTGCCGTCCTCCTCGGTGGCCATGGTCCTCTGGATGTTCTGGTACCTGCACAAAGAAGCAGAGTGTCCGGAGGGAGGGGGAGGAGCTTCTTTAACACGTTCAAACAGCTAAATCTGGCCTTTCTGACGCAGCCAGAGTCTGGATGAGTATCCTTAGTATTAGTTGGTTCTTCTTGCTGTTCTTTGCAGGCTTACTGTGGAACATTATAGTTCCTTTTCTGAACAGCAGGTGTCAGCCTCGTTCAATTGTCTGGGATGTAACTAGGGCTGAAGCGTTTCATCAGATTAATAATTTTTTAAAATAATCATCAACTAATTTAGTAATCAATTAATCCTTAACTGGACTATAGATACAGAAAAACATGCCTTAAGCTGACAGAGCGACCCACTCAGAGCAGTTATGTCAAAATTGTAAAACAGTTATGGTAGTGATATTATTTACAAAATATACAATATATAAACATTTTGCATAAAAAAAAAATGTTTTTGTCGGTCAATATGCTCTATGTAGAACTCAAGTGAAGAAGTTTTAATTCCATCTGGTTTAATTTAGTAAAAAAATCTTCCTTAAGGAATCTCCTGTCTATCTGATTATTAATCGATTAATCAAAAAATCATTAATCGATTTGCAAAAAAATAGTTCGTTGCAGCCCAAGATATAACCATTTATGCACTAAAAAGAAAGAATCTGGTTGCAGCCTGGATGCTTTTCTAAGCCATTTTAAAGGAGAAATCCAGTTATATTCAGAATTCAAACTTCTGAAAGTATTTTATATATAAAAATTAGATAACTGACCAACGGAGAGATGATCACTACTTTTTACTTCCCAATGGCACATAACTCCACCTGCCTGCACGTTACATGCGCCATCTTTGTTTTTTGCACCGCTACTACAAATCCAATCATGCTTTGCGAGGAGAGCTCTTGCAAAACAATTTGGGATATATCTGCTCATCTAGTGACCATAGATGATTGCTACTTTTGAGGGTACAATGTGGGAAAATGTAAGTGAATTACTTTTTCATCCACTCGATGTTCGGACACTCATTTAAAAAGGTCAAAACACTACATAGTGCCCTAAATTTTGATTAGAACTAATGTATGGAAAAGTTCATTCATCTCATCCAGCTGTTGCTGGTTAAATACTAGAAATAGGGCAGAGGACTGAGGTTGAGCTGCTGGAAAAAAAGCATTAGGATTCACAGACAAATCCACCAAAGGCAGACTTCAGCCACCAGTGCAGAGCTTAAAGGAATAGTACACCCAAAACATGATTAGCCTTCATTTTCTACTCACCCCCATGCTGAACAGCACTCTGGAGTACTTTTTTGATATCTTAAATGCATCTGGAGATCTGGGAGGCTTCTTGCTGTCTGCTGACATTCAAATAATGGAAGTCTATGGCGCCCGAGGCAGAAAGGTCCATAAAAGTCCACAAAAAACGTGTCAATATTCCTCCATACTGCTCGTCCAATGTATTCCAAGTGTCCTGAGTGGGTAGCATCCAGAACTTACTCGAAACAAAGTCATTTAGAATGTTTTTAGAGCATAAACAGTAGTGTATAGGATTTCCTAAAAGCGCATTCACGAGTCTACGGAAACCGCGGCAGACCAAACCAGATGAAAGTGCGCATTCAGCTCGGCAAAGAACTCATGCTCTTCCTCAACACTGAAGTCCTCAGACATTTTTCTTTCGTTGTTTCTTTCTTTGCACAGGTAAACAGCACATTTCTTCTTCTACGCTTGCATTATTGGCAGAGCAGACGCTGACGCTACCCACTCAGGACACTTGGAATACATTGGACGAGCAGTATGGAGGAATATTGACACGATTTTTGTGGACTTTTATGGACCTTTCTGCCTCGGGCACCATAAATCTCCATTATTTGAATGTCAGCAGACAGCAAGAAGCCTCCCAGATCTCCAGATGCATTTGAGATATCAAAAAAGTACTCCAGAGTGTTGTTCAGCATGGGGGTGAGTAGAAAATGAAGGCTAATCATGTTTTGGGTGTACTATTCCTTTAAGTAGCCAATGCATAACGCTGGCCTGGTGTTAAGAGCTGCAGCATAGGAGCTATTTTACTTCAAAATGGACAGAGTGGCTCTCTGTAGGCGGCCAAGAAACTTCCTTTAGACTCTCCAAAGATCAGATACTCCTGTCACACCAGGTTATGTATAAAGCCTTCTTCTGCTTACCTCCTGTTTAGCTGTTCCATCTGCTGGGTGGAACCAGAGCGAGGGATGCTGTGGTTACACTTTCCACCGTTACCAGGTCTCTGCCAAGTGGTGGTTCTGTTGACATGATCCACATAGAACACTCTGCCATGGCTGTCAACACGAGCCTCCCAGTCTGCAGAGGAGACAGAGGAGATGGAGGGGGAGACGTACTGAATTAGGGCTGGGCAATTAATTGCATTTGTAATATAATCACAATTTAGAAAAAAGCAATCTTCAAATCAAAGAGGCACTCAGTTTTAGTCACAATACCTTTACGAAGAGTAAGACACAAAATTTTTGTTAGGTGGCGTTAATACGATTAAAGTGAGCATGCTGTTGCACAGAAGGGAACAGAGAATTGCAGCTAGCACCTAGATCTATGCTTTATACTCGAAGTGACAACTTTTTAATGCAAATGTTTTAATGCAAATGCAAAAGTAAAGTCCTGCAGCACTGGATTCTGGAGAAGCAAGCTTTCACGGTTACGGAAAAACTAAAACCCTGGATTACAACATTGACATGCTTGTGCTTAGAGGTGCTGATCCTCATCCCGGCCGCTTCACACTTGGCTGCTCAAAGGCCCAGTGCACGCCGAAGGTCCTGGTTTGATGAGGCCAACGATATCTTTAGGTTCCCAAACCCTAACACCCTCCGGTCCCTGGCTTCGCCTAGAAATTCTGTCCATAAATGTATGAACAGAACCGGGGACAAAGGGCAGCCCTGGCGGAGACCAACATGCCCCAGGAACATGTCTGAGTTACTGATGGCCATTTTGAACCAAGCTCCAGCTGCGGTCATACAAAGGCTGCGTTGGTAGTATGCATTTTGAGGCCGGTGACGTCACAACGCTGCGCGGAGGCCGTCCCATTTGGCAAAAATTCTGAGGACACTTAAAATGCAGCCTCAAAATGCGTCCTCCTTTTCCCCGAATTCTGAGGATGCATCGCTACCGTCCTTAGTGGCCTCGCCTCCCACCAGATTTCCCGAGGTGCTTTGCGCGGTTCTTTTTTTTTTTTTTTTTTTTTTTTTTTTAAGTAGTTGAAGAAGAAGAAGAAAGTCGGATTTTCTTCAAGTTACGGACAACCGAAAGCAGCAGCAGCAGCGCCGACAGTAGTGCGGAGAACACCTTTAAATGTAAGTAGTTTGTTTTTTTTGTTTTTTTTTATGAACATCTATTAAAATACATGACGGTAACGGAGCCACCGGGATGTGTAGGAGCAGCTAAAGCTACAGCTAAGAGCTAACCTGTTGATACGTGATGTTCATCAACAATTAAAAGCCTTCATACAAATGTCACTAGGTTTTATTTTAACCTACATCTTACTGTACTGATAGCCGTATCCCTCACTAATCAGATCATTTTATTCTTAAACAGTTTATTACAAAGGATTAGAGCTGTTAAAGCTTAATGCAGCTGAAGAAAGTCCAACTGTACTGGGCTGTTAATACTGCAAACGTTTTGTTTTAATACTCAATAATGTAGTTTATTTACAGTACAGTATAATAAGGTTTAAAGTATAATTCGCTTGAAGAACAATACAGGCATAATTATACAAAACAGTCATTTTGCCTGTTGACTTAACAGAAATATGCTTTACATGTCATTTTGTTCCAGGGAGCAGACAGAGGAGTGGATAAAATGACCACCTTATCATCGGGGCCAAAAATACTGCTGCAGGCGGATGGAGGGAAGAGTTGAGGCAGAATTCCATCTACATGTTGCATTTCTATGTAAAAGTCACACAAGTTAAAATAAGTCCTGTTCAAACACCAACGTACAAATATAATCTTTTGATCACAACAAATGATGCTCAGATGCCACTCTTTGTAAATTTCATATTTGTGATAGAAGTGATCCTGGTGTGGGACAACTTAAAAAAAAAAATCTAAAGTATGTTCAGGTTTGGATAATGTATTGAAACACACACACCTATATACATATATATATATATTTATAAATATATATATATATATATATATATATATATATATATATATATATATATATATATATATATATATATATATATATATATATATATATATGTGTGTATGTATGTGTGTGTGTAGGGAAATTACATCTTTCATTTATTATATTCATGTTAATTTACACTTTCAGTAAGCTTGAAAAAGTAATCTCCAGGTTACCATTCCAAAGTCTTTTTCTGTAGAATTTCATCAATCCATCCAAATCATGAAACATTCCTTTTTTCTAGCTTTAAAGAAACACTACAGAAAATAGCATCTGTTGATACAAATTGTTTTCCTCTACTTTAGGAATGCAAAGATCCTTGGACAGGGCAGGGGGTCAGTGGGAATCCTACTGCTGCCACCTGGCCCTGGTTTGTCCTCATGGATGGGGTATTAGGACGGAGGTCCTCTGTTGCCCCACCTATCCTAATTGCCTCCATCCCTGAGGACACACCTGGGCCAGGTGCTGCAGAGGCTGAGCAGCATCAGGGTGACGATGAGGAAGAGAATGAGGATGAGGGAGGAGGGAAAGGATGAAGAGAAGAAGAAGGAGTGACGAGTTGGTGGATTTAATCAGGGAGGAGATGAGATGGCAGAGGGAGGCGGGAAAGGGTGGACAGATTATTTCATTGATTGGAGAGGATGGTGGACAGATATTATTTTTTTGGTGTTTTTTTTTTTTTTAAACAAGTTGAGGTTCTGTGTTGCTGTTATGGTTAAATTAAATTATTAAATTGTTTATAAAAGTTATTGTTGTCTGTGTGTTCTTAAAGTCTTTTAACCTTTTTACATTATCTGTTTCATCACTTCTTTGTAATTTAAGTAAACTTAGAACAACTTCTCAGTGACATCAGTTTATTTTTAGAGAAGCAAGTATTTACAATAAACTATTAAAAACATTTTTAACTATTGACATTAGATTTTAAAATTAACTACTACAACTATTTACAGAAGATATACAGTAAATATTACTAGAGAACATATATATACAATTGTGACTGATCAGGAGTCCCTGGTGGTGCTGGACTGGATGGGATGCCACACAGATGAGCTTGGAGTCTTCTGACTGCGAGTGGGACATCATCTGGAGGGTGGGGGTTGCCTCTCTCCACTGCTGATCCAATCGATGGCTGCCATGTTACTAAAAATGTTCAAGAAGACGCAGAAAATAATGACTTTACTAAAACTGTTTTTATAACCCTTAAATAAGAACAGCTAAAATGTGATTCTACTTGCCATCTAAATGTAACGGTGGTCGGGTAGACCCTCCTCCAGGGCAGACACCTCGGCAGACAGCTGGTCCCTCCATGGAGCACCACTGACTGCCTCCTACACGTTCTCCCCCTCCTCATCCTCTGGCATGTCGTCCTGCTCTTCATCCTCTGGGGCCATGATGTCACCCGCTCCCAGGCAGATGTTGTGCAGGACACCACATACTGTTATGACCTGTAGAAAAAAAAGAGAAAAATATTTATTTTTATTCAGTCATCTATATTTTTTCCTTATCTTTATTACATGATTTATTAGAAATTAAATTTTACTTCATCTAGATCCACTATTTAAAATATTTTTTTCGTTTTTATATTTTGATTTTTTTTTCTGTATTACGTTTATATATGTTTATATATATATATAAATATATTTTATATATATATATATATATATATATATATATATATATATATATATATATATATATATATATATATATATATATATATATATATATATATATAATCAGGCAGTAAGGGGATAACGATTTAGACAAAAAATGGTTTATTTCTCAACAGTTTGGCTTCTCAACACATTAGTGATAGTAAAAGTAGTGATTTAAGTCAGTTATTTACAGGGTTTGTACACATTCAACTATTCAATTCAAATTACTAAAGTTAAAAACAAATAAATCACAAACTTACAAATAAATATAAAACTTGATATTTAAACATATTCATCAATCTGCTGACAAGCGTTTGTTTAATAACTGGTATATTCTGATCATTAGCAGGCCCTGTGGGTTAGAATAATAGCAGGTAAATCTTACCTCTCCACTGCGCTCTGCCAGCCTGAGAAAAATCCGTCGCAGGTTTTGCTGCCGCCGAAGCCGTCAAAGCGACTCTCCTCTTCCAATAACAAGTAAATAAAAAAATAAACATTTCCATATCTATTTTTTTGTTGGTTCTTTCCGTATTTCTCGAGCTGTCGGATTTTGTTTCGCGCTGTTTGGGGTAAACGTGATGACGTCGTGTCGCAACCAGGAAGTGCTCCAAAGGCTAGACCGTCCCATTTACCAACGGCTGAGGATCCTCCGGAGCAGCCTACCGAGTCTGGGTCCTCCGGAGGCTAGGTAGGCTGCGTCCTTGGAAGTACGCAGCCTGCGAATTGAGACGCAGCCAAAGAACAGACAGCCCAGTGTGCCACGACCAAAATGTTCCTCCTAAATCAGAGGTTCCGCTATCGGCCAGATCCTTATTTCCAGCACCCTGGAGTAGACCATACCAGGGAGCTGAGGAGTGTGATCCCTCTGTAATTCGAGCACCCTCCGATCCCCATTTTTAAAGAGAGGGACCATCATCCCAGTCTGCCAATCCAGGGGTACTGTCCCTGACTTCCACGTGATGCTGCGGAGATATGTCAGCAAGAACAGTCCTACAACATCCAGAGACTTAAGGTACTCAGGATGAATCCCATCCCTGCCACTGAGAAGCTTTCTAAATATTTTGGTGACTTTAGCCTGGCTGATGGGCGAGTCCGGCTCTAAGTCCCCAGCCTCTGCCTCCTCCTTGGAAGAGGTGACAAGGGATTGAGGAGATCCTCGAAGTACTCCTTCCACCGCCCAACCACATCCCTAGTCAAGGTCAGCAGCTCCTCACCCACACTGTAAATGGTGCTGGTGAAGACCTACTTCCCCCTCCTAAGGTGGCGGACAGTTTACCAGAACACTTTCGTGGCTGACCGCTAGTCCTTCTCCATAGCCTCTCCAAACCCCTCCCAGACCACTCCACCCGACCCCTACGGATCCCTCTGTTGGTGGTGGGTCTACCGAAGGGCTGGCCCACGTCATCCATTCGGGCTGGGCCAGCAACCAGGCCCTCACAGCCACAACCCCAGGCCTGGCTCTAGGGTTGGGCTCCGGCTACACCATACCGAGCAATCTCACAGTCCTTGATTTTACCCTCTCCATAAGGGTATACCCAGGGTACCCCAATAATTGGCCAATAAACTTCCCAGCTACCCTGCTTTAAAACCAATCAGCATTGTTACACAAAACATGAGTCTACATATTGAAAGTGACCGGGAGAAAACAGAATGAGAAAAAAAATTAACAAAGAGGAGGTGGAATGGAGCAGACATGGGTAGCAGGCACATTGATGACACTCCAGAGTAAGAGCGGCAACTCTGGGTTCTTACTTGGAGGTAAAGCTGGGTCAGTGGCTGCAGGAAAATGGTTTGGGTCATTGCTGGGTCGCAGCACTGGAAGATGGCCGACAGGAGGGGAGAGGTCTGATCCTACGGGACATCACAGAGACAGATGGGGGGTGAATAATCGGATGCTTGGGGATTTCTATTCTAAAAAAATAAAGATTTTAATTTATTTTAACTACACTGTAAAGAATTGGGTGTTATAAATTCAGAATTAACCTATTTAACTCTAAATTGAGTAGTTATAACTATACTGGCTCTGCTCAAGTATTGGTGTTAATAATCACTGTAAAATGTTACAGCCATGCAGTGTAACTGTTACTCTGGATGCTGTCGATTACCTGCCAGTCTCTGAGAGGGCTTCTTGATTTAGATACCAATATGAGTAAAAAAATTTACTCTAAAAATCGAACAGCAGCTATAGAGTAAATATAACAATCATTTGGAGTAGGACCAAATATTGTCTGACGCTAGGGCGACAACTGACCCTTATTTTGCAAATTAAACTACTTTGTTGATTATTTTTTTGATTAATAATCAAAAAGCCAAAAGTTCCTTAAAGAATAATTTTTACAAAATTCTAACATATGAAATTCTGTCAGCTAGTCTCTATACTTCAGTTAACAATGAATCGATTGTTAAACTAGATAATTATTTCAGCCCTTTCTGATGCAGAGTTATATTCAACTTTCAATGCTATAATTGTAATAAAGTATCTTTTATTCTGCAGATCAAGTTCTAAACCCAAACGGGAGAAAAAAAGAAGCTGTGAAATTTCTGTAACACACGGCTTGTCCAGTCAGGGGTATAAACCTACCAATTTAACTTAAAGAAATGCCTGCCTCCATAATCACTGGGGATGAGAACATAATTACCGCTTAAACCATTAGTTCCTCAGCAGAGTAGCTTCCCTTGAGCTCCTGATGAATGATTTCTGATTGAATATTTGATCTGGAGGAAGGGAAGCGAGTAAACACAACAGGCTCGGTGGGATAATGGCAAGATCAGATGAAGCAAGGCTGATGGGAATGTAATTCACACAATCTGATGATCACATTACCGAGGCAGCCCCATCCACAGAGAAGACGTCACAAAGACAAACTAGCAGAAGCAGATTTCCTGGTAAGAAACAGGAAGGCTTCTGAAGACAACATCAGCAAAACTGATCAAATAAAACTCCTTTTTTCTGCCACTGCTCACAGCATAGCTCTGAGGTGAACATGCTCGGGGCCAAGCACTTTGATAGAAGTTTTAGTAAATATTTCATAGAAAATATGGAGGAATTTTATTAAATTATCGTAGAAAAGTAAGGACAATTATTAAGGAAAAATTTATAAAATACAACCCAGAAATGAAGCTTAAAAAGGGGTTGAGAGTAAGTTTGCTGATTTCTTCCATTTCATTATTTATTTACTTTTTGTTCGGATTTGCTATCCTAGTGAACTAGCCCCACCCGCCAGCGACCAAACTAATTTTTTTCCTGCGAGTGGGTCTCACCTCGAACAATGCCCCAGGCCCTAGAACTGGCGGGCCAATCACAACGCAGAGCTGTGTTTTGATTGTCTGGATGCAAAGTGGGCGGGGTTTTAAAGGGCGTGACGACAAACTGCATGACGCTGGAGAAAGCAAGGAAGATGGCAACAACTATTAAACAGTTCTCCTTTGACTCAGCTTGGAATCCGTTTTGCAAGGATTAGACTTGGGGTTTTCGTTGAAACGTAAGCAGGAAGAGGCTCTACGCTCATTCATTCTTAAGGCATTTTACCGACAGGCTTTTTGTTTACTAGTGTAAACACCAGCTTTCTGTCGCACTTACTACGCTACAGTCAGTTGTGCTCATTGGTCAGAGCGTTGGCCAATAGGCACAGACAGCGGTTTGAAAAACGAGTTGTTCTCATCAACAATCTTCTGATGTCTCATTCATCAGGGCCAGACTAAATTACACATTTAATCTCACAGTTAGTCTGGTTTATCAGGCTAAGTATTACTATTGGTATTACTAATGATGTGTGAGTTTGGTAAATCCTAATATTACCTGCCTTTTGTGTGTCAGAACTAATGTTACCCAAGTAGTTTAACTATTTAGTACAGTTAGGATATAAAGTTACCTTTAAAGATGTACGTGGCAAAGATTTGTGAATGGAATTAGAGCGGTGTCCTTGATTTAAGAACAAAGTGTAATATTTTGATAATGCTGGAGTCATGGATGTCTCCTCATTTACTAACGTGTATGATGTATGGATGTAATGATGTGATAATGTTGCATACTGGAGTTGTATAAAATGCTTCTTTAACTGGGATTCAAGGCCACTTCAATGAGATGTGAGTTGGTAAGCAATGCCTTCTGTAACTGAAAGCAACTTCTCTTATCTGAGTAAGATTACAATTTCTGTCAAAATCTGTTGTCATGTCTCATCCACATTGCTCTAAAATAGTGGAGAGCTAATTTGATCACATCCCAGTTTCTTCAAGATAAACTTTATCAACACAAAATCCTTACTAAACTGTGATATGGTTTTCAACCATGGTTTCCCTTCTTCTTTGTTTAGTAGTTTAGTTTTTGGTAAAGAACTGTTTTATTTTGAACAGACATTTTGGTGAATTTATTCCATGAATATGCAGAATCTGTGCCATGATCTTTGCGCTGATTCTGTTGAACTCTATTGTGACTGAACCTGGATCTGCCTCTTGACTTCGCCCTCTGGATCATCCTGCAGCCTGAAGTGACCCAAATCTGATTTTTTGGCCCACATGCGACCTGAATCTGATCTTTTCATGGCTGTCTGAACAACACAGATCCGATTTTTTCCAATCCGACCCAGGCCACTTGGCTCTGTGGTCCTGAATCCGATACGAATCTGATCTTTTCAAATGCGACCTGTGTGTGAACGGCCAGGTCGGATTCATCCGACTTAAACGTCATTAATAGCCGACAAACGTCACTATTATGCGTATTGCTACGCAGAAACGGCAAGAAAAACAACAATGATGGCAGATGATGATGTGGAGAGCAGCATTTATGTTTAACCATATTGAAAAGATTGTTTTTTTATTGTTGGAAAAGACCGCTTGATGCACGCCGGCACTACCATCCATGTTTACTTCCGGAAAAAAAGAGCACGCTGGCCTGTGACGTCATTGCGTCCTCTACTGCGCACACTTGCGTTGTATGACTGCAGTTCACACAGGAGATCACATACAAGTCGCATATATTTGGGAATATGAACGACAACGTAAAAAAATTCGGATTTCGCAAAAAATCGGAATTGAGCATCAAGGCCTGCAGTGTGAACGTAGCCTTAGTTATCAGGCTCCTCTCCTGTGGAACCAACTACCAGTTTTAGTCCGTGAGGCAGACACCATGCGCACTTTAAAGGCTAGGCTTAAAACTTTCCTTTTTGATAAAGCTTATAGTTAGAGTGGCTCAGGTTATCCTGATCTATCTCTATAGTTATGCTGCTATTGGCTTAGAGATTCTATCTCCTTTCTCCCACTCTACAGAATTTGTTAGTTCAATCTCTAACACTTTGATTTTTTTCATAGTAGCTTCATCTGGTCTGTTCCTGTTTGTCTTTGACTCCATCCCTGAGAGAAATATCAGCTGTGCTGCTGCCATCAACACCTTTGTTAGATGTTTAAGCTCGGTCTGTTCCAGTCACACAGAGAAACAGTGTAGTCCTGTTTCTCTGACTGTGACTAACTGGATATGCTCTTTTTCACCCTGTGACATGGGAGCTGGCTCGGAGCTTGTCTGCCTGGCTGTGTGTTTCCTGGATGCGACCGCCTGTGGAGCTGGTTGACAGTTGCCCTTTGTATCTTTGCTTCTTTTCCTGTCTGCTTCTGTCTCCTTGAACCCCAGTCGGCCTCAGCAGATTGCCGCTCACACTGAGCCTGGTTCTGCTGGAGGTTTCTTCCTGTTCAAAGGAAGTTTTTCTTCTCCACTGTCGCTACAAGCATGCTTAGTGTGAGGGCTTGCCTTCGAGTCAATGAGTTGATGCAGTCAACTGGTTTTCCTTACATAAAATTACTTTGATTTAATTTGACTGGATGATCTGATTGAACTGTAAAGTGCCTTGAGATGACACCTGTTGTGAATTGGCGCTATAGAAATAAACTAAATTGAATTGAGTCACTACAGTTGGACCACGATTTGAGCTCAATTCACACTTTCATTTGTTGTTCCAATACACAGCAACTTGGACGTGTATTTATATACAACATATGACGACCAAATAATATCTGATTAAATTATATATTTACCTACCGGGCTGGGAAATAAATATGTTAAAAGATGCTCCACAGAGAAAAAAAAAATCTTTTAGTTAAGAAAAGGTATTTACCCCATGCAAATACACTAAAAATCAGCCAAATATAGAGTCACTAGATTTTCTCTTTCATGTTGCAAAGCATCAGAATCCCTGATTTTTTGGCCCACATGCGACCTGAATCTGATCTTTTCATGGCTGTCTGAACAACACAGATCACTACATTGTCACATTAATAAACACTGGAATACAGATTAAAACATTTAAAAGGTGTGAACTAGGGAAATACACACCTGGGCAACCAGTTTATGATCAGACTAAAAGCAATGACAGAGTAAATATTTAGAGGACCAAGGTGGAACCTTTCAAACGAACAGTGGTGGTAGGGGCATCAAGCACAGAGTGAGTTTCTTTCTGCCAGGTGGGACCGATTGGAATGCATGTTAAAATACATGAAGAATCAACACATTATTTAACTTTGCCTCAAAACAACAGCAATGTGGTTCCAACTTAGAAATATTCTTTCTTTATTTTTTAATTCTTCACTATTATGTTATTCCTATACACTTTTCTAAGGTCCATATTTGTATGACCATTTTTTTCTATAATGTTTTTGCTGCTGTAAACACCAGAATTTCCCCATTGTGGGACAATATTCTATTCTACTCTGGAGCTGGCATCTATGACTGAGCACCTTGTTTCTTTTATTATTAATATATGAAGTGAATTTTCATTGAAATCAGAAAAAATGAATGGTTGAAAAAGCGAAAGAAAGATAATGTTTAGTCTCACCAATGCAGTTTTTGTCACTGGGCCCAGCCACCGCTGGCTCTTCCTGCTCCTCCCTTCTGATCTCTTTCCATCTGCCTATCCTCCTCTCACTTCCTGCCCCGCCTCCATCCTGACCGTCTGGCTGGACAGGGTTGAGGACAGACTCGAAGGCGCTCTCCTCATCTTCTTCTTCATCCTGGGACGAGAAGACGGTGCTGCCGGAAAGCCGGTTACTGTCCACCGAGGACAGGCGGTTGTGGCTACAGAAGCGGCCCCTCCCCTCATAGCCTGAGTTGCTGTAGCAGGACGTGCTGTAACAGGAGGTGCTGTAGCAGGACGTGCTGTAGCAGGACGTGTCGCAGAACTCGCATTCATTTTCGCCGGGAGGTCTGTGGCTGCTGCCGCAAACCCTGCGACCTCCTCTGAGATTGGAATCCCCCTCCTCACTATCCAGGCAGGATGGAGAGGTCCTTCTAACTGCTGGCCGTCCTCCCTGTCCTGCTTCACCTTCCAGGAGCTGGTTCAGCTCTGACAGACGCTCAATGGAAAGGCTGCGTGGCAGAGATCGCCGGCAGCATGGGCCAGGGCATTCTGGGACCTGCAGGAACAGAGACGTAGGCTGCAGGGATTATATTGTATAGACAAAATACCTCCAAGAGGTATAGTCATTAAACAGTTGTAAAGAAATAACTGACTTGTGTTATATATTTATATTATGATTAATTTGATTACATTTTGTTCCATCTGATTGATAATGTATGTTTCAATGTTTCCACCATCCACCAAACTCCTGTTCATTCTTACTGCCAGAGCAGAGGCACGCTACAGCAGAAAGGCGAAGCGATTTAGTCAGAGATTGTATACTATACAGTGGCATTGGTTGCAGGAGTTTACCCTGCAATCGGAGGGTTGATGGTTCAAGCCCCTCCCCTGCATTGCCTACTGAGGATGGGTCCAGTGGTGCCAATACACGGCAGCCTCGCTTATGACAGTGAGCCCCAGGGCAGCTACATTGTACTTTGCCATCATCAGTGAGTGTGTGCGTGAATGGGGTAATGAGGCCATTTACCATATTAAATGTAGACAAGGAAGCTAAATTACCTTTATTTTTATGCAAATATAAACATTTGATTAACTCCTTAAACTATTGTATAGATTCAGAAAGACAGATTTATTTTTGTCATTTAGTTTACATAAGTGTAAACAAAAAGAAATTTTGTTTAAAATATAGTGCCCATTTAGTCATGCTGCATGGAGGAGCAGCTTCTCTGTTGTGTTTGGAGAGCAAGGCTGTAATGATAGTGAACTTCATTATGTAAACTGCTTGTAACTTGACAGAAAAAAAGACAGAAACAAAGACAGGCGAATTTCTAAAAGTAGAATGGGAGGCAGATGTTTTAGTTATCAGGCTCCTGTCCTGTGGAACCAACTACCAGTTTTAGTCCGTGAGGCAGACACCCTGTCTACTTTTAAGGCTAGGCTTAAAACTTTCCTTTTTGATAAAGCTTATAGTTAGAGTGGCTCAGGTTATCCTGAGCTATCTCTATAGTTATGCTGCTATAGGCTTAGACTGCTGGAGGTCATAGGGACCCCTAGTTCATCATTCTGCTTCATTCACATTCTGCTCTCTCTGCTTTTTCTCATAGAAGCTTCATCTGGTCTGTTCCTGTTTGGCTGTGACTCCATCCTGGACAGAAATATCAGCTTTGCTGCTGCCATCAACAGGTTTCTTCCTGTTAAAAGGGAGTTTTTCCTCTCCACTGTCACTACAAGCATGCTTAGTGTGAGGGATTGCATTAGGGTCGAGGAGTCGATGCAATCAACTGGTTTTCCTTAAATAGAAAACTTTGAATCATTTGACTGTATGATCTGGTGAACTGTAAAGTGCCTTGAGATGATATGTGTTGTGAATTGGTGCTATAGAAATAAACTGAATTGAAACTGAATTGAAATTAGCAAAGGATAAACAAAAAAGTTGCTAATGCTTACCAAAGGTTAGTACTATGCCGCGCATCAAAATTCCAGACGGGTAGGCTAAATATCTGCTCATACCAATCTTTGGTTAGCACTAGTAAAATTAGCGATTAAGACCAAGCAGTACAGAACAAGATCTGTTAAATGTTAAGACGTCGCCAGGAGACGTCGCCAGGAGGTGTTATACTTGTCCATATCCCCTTCCAAAAAGCTTTCAAACATCAGAAAAATGTATGGACTATTTCAGTTCAGGCAACTGGATGTTACATCATCTAGAAGACGTTTCACCTCTAATCCAAGAGGCTTCTTCTGTTCTAACTAGCGGTGGGGAACATTGAGATTAATGTACTGCAGGTGGAACAAAGGGATTGGGGGGGCAAAAGATGGCTCTCTTCCCTCCTACTGGATTGGCTATGGAGGTCACAGACGGGGTGGTAATGGTCGTTAGGGGTTTCTGATGGGTCGTTAACTCCCTCATCAGAGTGGTTTAAGTCACATGCCTCATTGAAGTGTAAGTCAGGTGAGAGCAGGTGACGGGTGAATCTTCCGGGTTTTGTTTCTGGAAGTGCTTTTTTAAGTAGGTGAAAGGTTCTGATTTATACTCAGAAACCAGGTCATCTGTGTGTGTGTCGCCGTTAATGCAGATTTCCCCCTTACTCCGCAGACACTCTGCTGCACCTATCCAAAATTGTAGGTGACCGCAGACAGTGGAGCAGACAGAAGGCCTCTGATTGGTCAAATCTACATCCGCCCTACACTTTCCGTATTTCCTGTTTGGTACCTTACCGGCTTGTTTTGTTTGTTTTGATTGAGGAAATCGACTGGTGAAGATGGACCAACTAGAAGAGCGACGTATGTGAGAATGCTGGGACCCTTTTCCACCTGGATTCCCGCTCTTTTTCACTCTCATGTCCCTCCGTTGTCGCTCAAACTTGCCCCCACTTTCTCACCACGCTTTAAAATTGGGCATAAATCAATATGCATAAAGCTCACTGTGACTCACTGCTGCAGGAGGATAACCAGACCTTAAGACCGCCTCTTCTGTTGAGAGATGGCTTTTCCAGGGTAAGAAAGTTTTCCTTAACCCCTCTCTCAAACCATATTTCTTCCTTGGCCAGAGTGTGGATGTTGTCCTCAAACCAGAGTCTTTTAGCTTTCAGTTGTAGGTGAACAGCTGAGTCCTGTCCTGAGGAGTTGGCCCTCCTGTGTTGAGCCATCCACCTGTGTAGCGGTTGCTTGGTCTCTCCAAAGTACAGGTCTGTGCAATCTTCACTATACTGAACGGTGTAAAACACATGGTCGGCCTTATTTCTGGGTGAACCAGTCTCAGGGTGTTGCTGGGTTTGAAGTGCACAGGGACCCTGGTGCTGGTTGAAAATCCTGCTAAGTTTTTCAGAGGCCTCAAGGATGAGAGGCGAAACTTCTTCTAAAAAACTTCACGTCCACTCCTGCTTCAGTCAAACTGAATTTGTCAATATTTTTACAGATTTGTAAAAAGTAGTCCAGTTACTTAATACAATTCTGCGCTAGATTTATTTTACGGATATCATCTAAAAACAGTAGCCTGGGTGCCATTCCGAACTTAGTCCCGCCCACAACGTTTGAGGTCGGGAAGTTCGGTCTGGCATTGCTCAACAGTAGCGCGAGTATGCTAGCACAATATCTGGCGATCCAATCAAATTGTCAGGGCGGGCTTTATGCGATGATGGACAGATGATCAACAGTAACGTAATCAACCACGTGACCAATGCGCGCTTGGGTGACAACAACAATGGCTGCCGCTGGAGAGTTGAGGTGAGTAGATTCTGCTATTAGGTCTGTTCTAGAAGATATCGACAGCAAATAAATTTTAAAAGAGGAACAGAGAAACGCGATCAAGTCTCATCTTCTTATTCTAGGCGTGAAACTGCACGCTTTGATTTTTGTGGACAACAACTATGCGTCGCTTAACATACGTCACGCACTCTGTTGCTCTTATTGGTTGTAGGTCTATCCAATTGAGTGCAGAGGCATTTTTTTTCCTGGTTCGTTCAAAACACGCCCCATAATCACAGCTCTATGGAGCAGCATCAGACTCATATTCTGACTAGAATTGAGTAGGACTACGTCAGGCTATAAAAACAGCTGAATGCCCATACTTGCTGGTTTTCACATTGTTGCTCACCTCATAGTCACATAGTTTTTTTTGTAGTACTTTGCCATTCTGAAATTAAGATTGAAAAAATACATTTAAGTAGGGGGTATAATACTAACCGATTAATTAAAGTGGAGATTTTTTTGTCCAATTTACTAATATACATTCTCAAAGGCAGTTTTCATTGATTGTTTTAATGCTATACATTAGTATCAATACCAACTAATCTTCCTGATCTGTATGCTGGTTTGTTCAGCTTTTCTATTCTTTCACTGTGAGTATTTTCACCTGAGATGGAGATCGAGTCGTATCCTCCTCCTCCTCCTCCTCCTGCCCTTCCTCCTCCTTGGAGCCTCCTTTCAGGGTTGGTGACGTAGCCCCTGAGGTTAACTCCCCCTCCTCCTCCTGGCTGGGGGGTCTGGCTGAGGGGAGGCTGTGGAGGAGGTGATGAATCCGGATGTAATGGGATCGCGGTGTCTCTGGCTCCCCGCAGGCCGAGGCGATCACCGTCTCCAGCTCTGACACCGGCAGAGAGCAGGGCCGGGTTTTACGCTTTGACGGGGTTTGGGAGCTGCAGTTTGAGAATAGCGACTGGCAGGAGCTGGGTTTGGAGCTGGTTTCTCCTTCTTCGGTGACCTCCTGCTGGGCTCCTGGTTCAGGGTCCTCCTGTGGAGGGGCCCCCTGCTCAGAGGGAGCTTCTAAAGCAGCAGCAGCTCCTTCATTTGCCTCAGACTCAGGCTGGGCTGCACCATCAGCCTCTTCACTCTCCTTCTCAGATTGAGGAGCTGGCTCCCTTCCCTGCTCCTCTTCTTCTTTATCCTCCTGCTGTTCAGGGGAGCCCCCTTCCTTCTGCTCCGCCACAGGCAGTGAGGCTTCACCCCTCACTGTGTCCCCGCCCTCCGTCCCTCCTTCCTCCCCCTGTGCAGCTTCGCTGCCTTCCTGCTGCTCAGCAGGAGGCGCTTCCTTGGCGGTCTGGGCTGCTGGCGCTGAGATGTCAGCGTCAGGAGGAGCATCCAGGGGGATATCAGGCATATCCGGGCCCACACTTAGAGTGTCTTCATCATGGTTCTCTTCTGCAGGAGGCCCCTCCGCATTGCAGGCTGGCTCCATCACCAGGGAAACCTCCTCATCATCTGGGAACAAAATTCAAAGTTATTCAAATCCTCATTTAGAAGCTGAAGTTTTAAAGGACACCGATAAAAACACCCGGAGGATAGTTAAAAATGTTCCATAGCAGCAGCTGATATTCCCCAGACAATATTATATATTAACTTCCATATACATATTTAAACATATATTCATAGATATAGATCTATTGAAAGTTTACTTGCCCTTCCATTAAAGAAAATAATAATCTGATAGGAAAAATAAATTGAAAAAAGCAATACCAAAAAAATGATGAAATGATGAATGATGAAAGTCATGATACTGAGTTTGAATGAATTTCTTGTTGGATTGTGTGGCACATAAATATGTATATATTAATTAATGTAAACCAGGTGGATGGAGCGCCTGAACTATAATTTCTATGAGCAAACAATCACTGAAATTAGGTGTTTTCTTTAATGTTCAGCAAAGTGTTAGGATTATTTCTATTGATGATGTGTGAGTCTGTTAAACTCTAATAATACCTGCCTGTTGCATGTCAGAACTAATGTTTTCCCAAGTAGCTTATCTAATTAACTCTGTCCGGAGATACAGTTATACATTCTGCACGTGGCAAAGATTTGGGAAAGGAATGAGAGCGGTGTCCTTGATCTAAGAACAAAGTGTAATAGTTTGCTTTAACTTTAGCCATTGATGTCTCCTCATTTACAGACGTGTATGATGTAATGATGTGATAATGTGGCATACTGGAGTTGTATAAAATGCTTCTTTAACTGGAATTCGGGGCCACTTCAATGAGATGAGTCTGGATGGTAAGCGCTGCCTTCTGCAACTCTAAGCAAACTCTCTGGACTGAGTAAGATTACAATTTCTATCAAAATCTGCTGTCATGTGACAGGCAGAAGACCGTCACTCCATCCTGGGTAGAAATATCAGCTGTGCTGCTGCCATCAACACCTATGTTTCTAGATGTTGGAGCTTGGACTGTTTTTCAGTGTAGTCCTGTTTCTCTGATGGCCGCTTACACTGAGCCTGGTTCTGCTGGAGGTTTCTTCCTGTTCAAAGGGAGTTTTTCCTCTCCACTGTCGCTACAAGCATGCTTAGTGTGAGGGATTGTTTTCGAGTCAATGAGTCGATGCATCAACTGGTTTTCATTAGATAGAAAACTTTGAATCAATTTGACTCTATGATCTGGTGAATGGTAAGGGCCTTGAGATGACGTGTTGTAATTTGGCACTACAGAAATAAACTGAATTGAATTGATGCTTCTCCACCATATTTTAGTACAAAGATTGATGTATAAAAAGGAATTGTAGGGGACCAGCCAAGGGCCCATCATTACCTCGGTGGATTAAAATCACTGATGGCTGTTAATAATCTGGCACTAGAGACTGATCTGAGAGCTGGTTATATAGTCAGGTTAATAAGATGGAGGCTGATCGGAAAGCTTACAGACGTTTTGAATCCTAAATCAAACCAGCACTAGAGCCAAGAACCATGAGTCAATGAGTTGATGCAATCAACTGATGAAATTTGACTGTATGAGCTGGTGAACTGTAAAGAGCCTTGAGATGACATGTGTTGTAGATTGGCGCTATAGAAATAAACTGAACTGAATTGATGTAAGCAGAGCATACCTGGATGAATGGAGGAGCTCAGCTCAAAGCGGAACAGCAGCTGGCCACAGACGTGATCTGTCGGCAACCTGCGGCCCAGCGAGTAACTCACCACCCGGTCTCTGTTACACACAGGAGTGTTGGAGGAGAACAAAGATGGAAGATAAACAAAGTCCAGTCCAAGCAGAAACATTCAGAATCAAAGCTCCAACATTTACCCTATAGCATGTTTTTCCAGAAGCCTCTGGACGGGGACGGACAGCTTCCCCAGGAAACGCTTGATGATTGGCCTACTCTTTGCAAACTTGTCCTTCACCTCAATCTCCAGGACATCCGTGGGCAGAGACACAAAGTTAAACCTCTGCAGGGGCAGATGGAGAGAGGACAGAGGGTTGGACCACAAACAGCCAGAATGGAAGGGTTCTAAAGCAAGCTCCAGCAAGGCTCTTTTAAATATCATCAGCATGGTGTTGTCAGACTGAAATGCAGTTTTTTATAATGCAGAGGGTATAAATAATAATTCTGAATCTATGGTGGTTTTAACCTTTCAGACCCAATTCAGGCAACACCTGAACAGAGTTTTAAAAATAAGTGTTTAACTCCTGAACGGGCCTATGTACAGATCCAAACCAGCGGTGCACTAATTGCTGTTCTCTGGGGGATCACCAATCATTAAAAAGCCTCATATACCAATTTATGTTATAACAGCTGTTATGATTCACAATATACCTTCAATAGCCAAATACTCAGATCAAATTTCTGATCAGATCGAATAGGTTTCATCTAAACATGTCAGAATGAAGATTCTGATCCGGGATTTTCTGATCGCTATTCTGATTGGCAGAGATGGGAAGTAACGAAGTACAAATACTTGGTTACTGTACTCAAGTAGATTTTTCTGATATTTTTCCTTTACTTTACTACTTATTTTTATGGCGACTTTTTACTTCTACTCCTTACATTTTTACACAAATATCTGTACTTTCTACTCCTTACATTTTAAAAAATTGGCTCGTTACTTTAGTTTTGAATCATTTGAATCATTTGAATCATTTCAATGGAGTTACCGTTATTATTTTTCACGTCATCAATACCAAATTCAATCTAATTGGATGGGAATCTATGTTGCATTTGACGAATCGATAGATTTGGCGGTATTCATTGGCGGCAAATCAAGCAGCTTGGTGGCGATGGCGTTAGCATAGTAGCATGGACGACGAGATGATTGAAAATGAACACAACGGAGATCTAGTCCTATTGGCAGACATCCATTTAAAATGTAGGCAACGGCATGAAAAAAGTGGTCTCTACTTTTACAGTTTAATCAGTACTTTCACTTTTACCAGAGTATTTTTTAACACAAGTATCTGTACTTTTACTCAAGTACGGAAAGTGAGTACTTTTGCCATCTCTGCTGATTGGTGCCCTTGTACTCGCCCATTCAGATCTTTGGAGAAAAAAATGAACGTGTGTAACATCAGCATGCTCAAATGATTTCATTTGAGCATGCTGAGCATGCTTTAAACACATGCTCAAATGATTTAATCTAATCTGATTCTGGTACATGTATACCATGTATACATCCTGATCGGATGCTTTCATTTAGAGTCCATTTAAACAGATTCCGTCTTCAGTTTCCAGCATCGGCGTCGCCAGACCCCATTTACTGGGGCACGTGCCCCAGTGTAAATGAGCTGTGCCCCAGTATAAATCTCATGAATATTTGCAACAGTGATACATTTTTTTAATGCATCAATTTAGATAATTCCAACGGGAGGAGACATATATTTCTACTCAAATGCGTATCAAGTGTGTTGGTAACTCCAAATTGAGCATGTATTAGCCCCCCCCACGTCAGCGCATGTCACTGTATGAACTGCAGGTAAACTAACATGCTGCTCTCAACTGAATTGGATGGGACAGTGTGCGGCCGTGACACATTTTTTTTTAATTGACAGGTAAGAAACGTTGTTCTGGTAACGTTTCTTACCTGTCAATTTTATTATTTTCCCAGTGAAACCACATGATTTATAGGCTACTAACTGAAAATTACTGCATTGGTTTGTAGATGGATATCAGGAAATTCCTCACACGAAGGAGAGACAGGGAAGCAGTAAAACAAGATGAGAGAGAGGGAGGTAAGGTCCCGTGATGAATTAGTGATATAAGCTTACTAGTTACATTAGGAACGTTATAAGCAATATGATAGATATTTACATAAATATAAATGTAAGTTTTTTGATGTTTGCTGTAGAGAATGAGAATGCAGTTGCTGGAGTAAGAAAAGGAGGAGGAGGCGAGACTGACAGGCAAGACAGGTGAAAGACAGGAGAGACAGGACCATGAAGGTGATGAGGGAGCAACAACCAGCGTCCACAAACAAGAAGGGGACATTAGTGACTTAGGGGGAAAGCATGATGGTCCTAAACAAGTGAAGTTGTCCCACTATCCCCAGAACAAATTTGGAGTAAAAAAAACGTTCATTTAATTCAAAATGGTTTGAAAGCTTTTTATGGTTGAAAAAGAAAGCCTTGTCATCAAGGATATGCAGTGTGTTTTCAACTTGCTTGATAACATCATATTCCCAACACTAACGTAGGTCATCCAGATGTCCCTCACAATCACAATCAACAGCTGTAGTTGTGAAAGGTCATTCAGTGTGTTGAGAAGGCTCCACACTTGGCTGAGGTGCACAATGGGTCAAGACAGGCTCCATCATCTGGCTATTTTATCAGTTGAAAAGGAAGAACTTTCTAAGCTGAGTCACAAGTAATTGACCACTTTCCAAAAGTGAAAAATAGGAGGTACACTTTAATGCTCAAAAAATAAAAGAAAAACTTAGTTCGGGTTGAGTTAAACTTTCCCCTGAACTAAAACTCTGAAACCTAGGAATTAATGATTACTTCAGAATGTGTATAAGGACACTCTTTATTTTTGTAGTTGGTAATGTCTTATTTTTTATAGCTGCAATGTTGAAAATGTTCATGTTTGTTAAAACAAATATGCTCTTACACTCACTAATATCTCAACTGGTAATTTTGGTAGGAATGTATCAGGGTGGGGCAGTGTGCTTGTCTGTATTTGTGTATGGCAGGAGGGGCATATGCGGTAGGGGGCCAGTGCCCCAGTAAAGCTTTGTATATAGCAACGCCCCTGGTTTCCAGCGTACCAAGGTTTCGATCAGATCCGGGATGTAAAGCCATGTAAATGCATGTAAAGCCAGGTATACACTGAATGATTTTTTCAATCGTTGCATGCAGCTACAGCTCACACTTTACAATGAAACCGCATGGTTTAGGCAGAAGCAAGTGATGGTGGCGGAGACTTACAACCCAAACCCAGATGTCCGATGTTTTTGGGATGTTTGTCTATCATGTGTTTAACTCAGAGACTTTTAAAAGCTGCTCTGACATTAATAATTCAATAAAGTTACCTTTTACTTTCTGCTGCTTTCTTTAGTTCTATTAAAATCTGCCATTTATATTGTACTTCCCACAGCACACAAAAAATATCAAACACATTTTATTTCCTCTGCCAAGGAGGTTATGTTTTTAGAAGAGTTGGTCTCTCTCTCTCTCTCTCTCTCTCTCTCTCTCTCTATCTATCTATCTATCTCTGTCTGTGTACAGGTAAACTGGAATGGACCTGAAAGAATTTTAATATTTTTTTCACCAAAGGTGTCCCTCAGGCCAAGGAACAATCCATTACATTTTGGTGCATCATTTTAAACAGATTAAAATGACTGTATGTTGGAATCGGCCTGATTACACATTTCCCCCTATACTGGAAACGTGGCACTTTGTGTTTTTACTGCTGTTTGATTATAAAAAGATTGTGTCTTATAAACTGTACTTTTGTGAAACATTAAGGTTGTATGGCTTAGTGTAGCCGTCTTACTGATGGATGAGCAAATGCTCCGAATTTTAATCTGTTTAATCAGGAATGTGTTTTTTTAGTCAAGAATGCAACAACCAAGACCAAGAAGTACGAGACCAAGACCAGGCCAAGACCTTAAGAGGCCAAGATCGAGACAAGGCCAAGACCTTGAGAGGCCAAGATCGAGACAAGGCTAATACCTTTAGAGGCCACTATCTAGACAAGGCCAAGACCTTTAGAGGCCAAGATCAAGACAAGGCCAAGACCTTTAGAGGCAAAAGATCGAGCAAGGCCAATACCTTTAGAGGCCAAGATCGAGACAAGGCCAAGACCTTTAGAGGCAAAAGATCTAGCAAGGCCAATACCTTTAGAGGCCAAGATCGAGACAAGGCCAAGACCTTTAGAGGCAAAAGATGGAGTAAGGCCAATACCTTTAGAGGCCATGATCGAGACAAGGCCAAGACCTTTAGAGGCCAAGATCAAGACAAGGCCAAGACCTTTAGAGGCAAAAGATCGAGACAAGGCCAAGACCTTTAGAGGCCAAGATCAAGACAAGGCCAAGACCTTTAGAGGCAAAAGATCGAGCAAGGCCAATACCTTTAGAGGCCAAGATCGAGACAAGGCCAAGACCTTTAGAGGCCAAGATCAAGACAGAGCCAAGACTTTATAGGCAAAAGATAGAGCAAGGCCAATACCTTTAGAAGCCATTATCTAGACAAGTCCAAGACAAGGCCAATACCTTTAGAGGCCATTATATAGACAAGGCCAAATTTATTTTGGAGGCCAACAACAAGACCTTTAGAGGCCATGATAAGAACAAGACCTTTAGAGGCCAATTCCCTATTTGGGCTTTAGCTTGTCTGGTCTTGGTACCCATTGTTTGCTCTTGAATAGAATGCTTCCTCAATCATATCAACACAATTTAGACCGGCTGCCTGCTGCATAATGTCATGACCTTGGCACTGATGCCTGGCTTAATAGTTCATTCTATTCACCTGCCTGGCTCTGCCCAGTTTCTCATTACTGTTCATGTCATCAACCTGCTCCTGTCTCTATTTAGGCTGCTTCACTCAGTCATCCGTGGTTTTTTTGGATCGGGCCGAGTTTCAGCCTCAACGTGGGTCCTACATTGTGTAATATACATGGGGTAACAAGGGGCAATTAGGCTCTCACCACAACCTTATCATAAAGAATCATAAGATCGGGAGAAAATCCAACATGTTTGAAATTCAGTAGGCCCCTGTGAAGTGTTCGTCGACAAATCCTACTGTTGAAGCAGAGCTATAAGCCTATTTACCGAACCTTGTGCGTTGTGTATGTGCAAACAATTAACTTTTTTTTTCTTCTCCTTCTAGATTGACAAGTCTAAAAAATGTGTAGGATATTTGGCTGATTTTCTCCCTCTGTTTCCTTCACAAAACATGGGGACAAAAAAAATGTCTCCTTCGATTTTTTAATGAAAAGATGTTTTGAGTTTCGGATTTTTATTGTTTCTGGATTTTAAGCTGATTTAAATGCTTTATTTTTCTAAGTCTAAATGATCAGTTTTTAGCCACATTTGAGTCAACAGGACAAATCCCATTCTAGAAACATATATGCAGCTGTAAAGTTTTAAATGATTTAACCAAAGAAAGAGGTTCATTAAATTGAGAAACTTTCCTGTTGTCTATGAGCTTTTCATCCAAAATTAAATTCACTCTAGAAACAGCCTCAATAAATTGGCCCCTATAGGTCAAGCCCATTTTTACAGCACCAGATCTACGATTTTCTTCAAGACTGGGGCCGATGCCTAACCTGAGAGAAGCCATATTAAGATCATGTAGAATTCTAATGGAACTACATTTTCATTTTTGGGAGTTTGTGAAAATTCATTTTGCTTGTAAAGTAAAGCAGTATGGCTATTATTGCTAAATTGAGACATCATGAAAATTGTGGAATCAGTTCTTTTTCATCCCCTCTAAGAAAGCACCAAATCTTGTGAGGCAGAAAACTTGAACAGCTAGTCATCCTGACAGCCTCCTCCCATGTTGGAGCATAGTAATGGCACCACAGCCTGTCAGCGGAGTGGCAGCCATTAGAGATAAAGTGTCTGCAGGGAAGATAACTTTCACTCAACATGGACGCAGAAGCAAAGAGGCTAAAAGCTGAGTGGACGCTGCCAAGAGGAAGAGATGCCGAGTTACATCTATGTATGGAATCACCTGAGGGACAAAATAAACGGTTGTGAGAGTCATTTTGGGCAGCGAAGGCATCCAGCCTAAAGTGGTTCAAATCCACAGACAACCAGTTTATTGGATCTTTGTTGTTTTTAAGCGTTTCGCTAATTTTGGTTGTAAAGCAATTGGTGAATACTTTATTTCGAGTTTTTCCTTTTTGGAAGAACAATACAACTTAATCCAATAAAAAAATAAAAATATTTTAATATATAATATAGAAAAGGGAGTTGACAGCTTAATTAGAAATGTTGAAAGACGGAGAGAGAGGGGAAAAAAGTAAATAGTTATGAATGAAAAATAAACAAACACACAAACCAACAAAGGAAACAACAAAAGAAATAAAACAGATTCACATGTTCACATATATATCAAGTTTTTCAGCAATCTGAACATTACTGTTGGTTTATAATAGTACAAGCTCCACAGCATGTCTAAGGATTGTAACGGTAGTTTCTCTCAATGAAAGGTTACACATCTTTAAAAACTCATTATATTTGTTTTTCTTATGACATTCTGGAAATGTGTCTTATCGAGAAATGTAACCATAGATTTAGAATAACTACAGGGTTAAAATGACATCCAACAACATTTCAGGAGAGTTACAATATCTCATTCAATTATGATTTAAAAGCCCCAAAAAGAACTATACACATATCATTTATGGCTTCATGTCATGTTTAAACATCGGGGTGGCGTCAAATCTTCAACTCGGTTCTGATAAAATGTTAATTTCGTTTACTAAGCACATATAATAATAGCACAACATCGACCAGAGAGCTTGATATAGAATAAATGGCCATTACAGCAGGGTGATCTCTCTGCCTTTGCTAATTCCTTTTATCTGTGGAGATGAACCTTCCAGAAATGGACCGGCCTTTCCAAGAAGAAAATCAATGGCTGATCTTGTTTTCCTCAAAGGAAACCTGATCGGATCAATCAATCCTGTCACGTATAAAGACACTCTACCTTGATCCACATCTGGAGCCTTAGAGGAAGAAATTTTCATAAAAACCAAACTGGATTCATCTTCAGATCCTATTATCAAGCTGAATTTCATAGCAAATCTTTTAGTATTCAATTCATCTAGAAATTATCATTTTGATTTATTGAATTGGTTACTCTTACCAAAGAATTTAAACCTTATAGAACAAACATTAATTGTTTTATCTCCTTTTTATTTTAGAAATAATTTAATTGTGAAACGAACCCAGCATTAATTCACAGTGGTTATGGTTGAAAGGGTGAATAACACCACCCAGGTCTGTATGTTGAACTAACAGGGTTTTTAAGGTAGCTGATCTGATCCATCACTCCTCAGAATGTCGAGGAAAGAGAAAAGGTGATTTCATGGCAGCCATGCTTGTACCTCCATATTGGAGTTAGGTTCTTTCTCCATGGCGTCTCCTAGTTTTTGGTTTTGAGTTTTCTTGTTGATCTGCTCTGGACTTTGGATTCTGAATTTTTACTTCTTCATTGAATTTAGCAAGTAATCATCTCTGCCTCTTCTACTTTGGGTCCACAACAACATCCACCAACCTTGACAGCGTTGTCTGTGTGTGTGTGCTTACCTCTGAGCTCCACTGGGGGTTGATGGTGTTGCACACCACTTTGGAGCGTTTCTCCTGGCCATGATGCGGCAGCGATGGGAAGATGCTGTGTTTTCCAGGCTGAATGGAGAGTTTCAGGTACGGATCCGGATTAAAGAACATCCCTTTCTTCAGTCCAACCGCCTGGATGTCTGACACACGAGGAATAGACACACACAGAAGGATATTTGTTTCTAAATGACTGACCTAATATACAGTAGCAGCCATTCAAAATCGCCATTTCCAGTCAAAAGCCAGCCCAATGGAGGCCTACTCCACTGAGAATCCCAGCCAAATCCCCTCCAACTGCCAGCCACTGGAGTGACCCCTTCTCTTGGACATGCTTATTTTTTTAATATGAATCCACCCTTTCACTGAATTACAGGGTCTGACCAGGAAGATGACGCTTCTCTTTAGATCTTAATGTCCACAAATCATGACAGAAATAATATTTTAGTACAATGACTGATGTTTAAAAATAAATGTATAGGGTACCAGCCAGTGACCAAGCAAGGACCCATCAAGGAAAGTGGGGAAATTTTGAATGGCTACTACTGTAGGTTTTTTTAACCAAGGACATTTAACTATTTTCCTAATTTCTTTAGATAAAAAGCAACATAACATTGCAAACTTGGTCGAAATATGAATAACAACAAAATATAAAACTGCTTTGATTACATTTTCTATTTCCCTGAGAAAAATGAATTTGGGAAATGAACTTCTACACTAACGTACAGCGGATGTGTATTTATTTAGATGGCATCTCTTTTTTAGAGTACTTAAAGAAAACCCCTTCATCTCTATAGGAAAGGAGGATCAGGCTGGTTGTTTCAGCCAGATCCTGACTGGAAACCGCTTGTCTAAGCTCCTTTTAACGTATTGATCAGAGCCAGCCTGCGGTTTGAAGAGGGAAACATAAATCAGCTCTCATAAGGTCATAGCCTAACTCTGCTCATGTGATTTCTGAATATACTGTAGGTTAGAGAGGATGAATCACACACAAGAATGTAGAGTCACTTACAATCCCTCACAAAATTTGCACAGATCACAACATTACCACATAATTCAACCTGGGAGTTTTATGCAAAACTCTCTGATTGAAGGGGAACAATTGAAACTGCTGGAAGCCTTCAGACTTTCTGCTGCAGAATTAAGGAAATGGAGAAAAGACGAGACATTGAATAGCAGCCCTACCTGACAGGGAGAAGTTAATCAGTCTCCTGTTGCCCAGTCCGTGGTTCACTTCAGGACTAACCACCGGCTTTAACACCTGAGGACACAAAGACAACTGCTCCTGTAACGTGAAGAACAAGTAAAGACACCCTGTTATTGCTGCTTCACTGGTCCTGCTCCATTTTTATATCTGAGGTATGAATCTTTAATGGAGGGAAAAAGGCTGAGGCCAAACAACTCCTGGTAAAAACAGGAAAAACCAAGAAAACCTTCACATCTTTTATTCAACTGCTCCTAAAGCCCCTGTCACACTTTAATTTAGACAGCATATGCCTGACATCCCAGAATCTTCTAAAATGCTGCCATATGTTGAATGTTATATGTATTTTTTAAATTTTGGACGTATACAGAGAGTATTCATAACGAGTCCAGAGCGTATGTCCAACGACATTGCCAATGAAATGTCACAAACCAGTGTCCTGAGGGGGGCAGTGATGCGCCTGGCAAGCACCCGGCCTGCATAAAAAGATTTTATTGATCGGTATTAACCTTGCTGCTGTTTAACGCATGCCAAAAAAAGAATAAATAATAAGCAAAAACAAAAGTTAAAAAAAAGATGGTTTGCAGTGGCAGCAGATTCAGCGTCATGTCTGCTACGAAGTCTGTTGGTGGCGGGCGTAAACGCAGGGAGGATCCATCACACTATGTTTGCGCTCGTCTGCAACATGTCATTTACGTTGATATACGTTGGAGATAAATTCTGGATAGGTTATGTATAAGTTATGCACAAGTTACTCATAGGTTTTGGATAAGCTAGACGCCACAACTTATAAGTAACTTACACTTAACATATGTCAACGATCAGATAACTTACCAGTAACTTTATGGCCCACATATGGGTGTACTCTGGCATACGTCGGGAAATGCTGAAAATTTCTAAACGTACTCGGCATATGTCGACATGTGCCAGTGTGTTTCAGCGTACTTCAGTGTACCTCAGCATACTCATAACTTATACTAAGATTACCCATAACTTATCTAACGTATGCCAGCGCTTTTGCCAGATTTTTCTCGCATCAGGCACACACTGGTCTAAATCGTCAAGGTGTGACTTTAGCAGTGACTCTGGGATCAATAATAAACTGACATTGACTCTTCAGCGGCGGGAATGACATCATTAAATACTGCTTTGTTGGGCAGCGCATGGCTTTCTCAACATCAGGTAATAATTCCAAAAAAAGAAAATTAAAAACAATCCTTTGGACTTTATTTTCAAGTATGAAGACGTTTGCTTCCTATCCAGGAAGCGTTTTCAATTCAAATACCGGGAATAGCATTAATAGAGTGGAGGAACTCGTCTATTCAGCCAGGCCAACAACCCCCTTTAACGACCGACCAATCAGACACTTATTGGATGGGTATGGGGTATGACAGTCTAAGGCCCCGTCCACACGAAGTCAAAACGAACACGAGACGCTAATATTTTCCAGAACGTTTGTCGTAAAGACGGAGACGTAAAATAAATGTAATCGTCCACACGAATGCATGAAAACGCTAAAAAATGTATGCCAGGCCTGTAAGTGGCGCTGTGGTGCCAAAGCAAAAATAGGCGACGAAATGTTGGGCATGCGCACTAATATTTATACATGGTTGCCCTGCGGGTCCATTTTCGTGGTCCAGTCAAATTCAGGTGCTGATCTATGTCGTCGATATTGCTCTGTTCTTCCTGGAGATATTCCAGAAGAAGAAGATTCTGTTGTGAGCCCGACAGCAGGGTGAGTAGCATGAGCAGCAACCATTCAACACAGTACGGCACCATTGTTGTTGTGATACTGTGTCGCGCGTGCGTGTTTAGAGGCGACGCTATGACGCATGCGTGTAAGAAAAAAAAATGCGGTTAGAGCTTAAAGATGGAAATTCGAAAACGGCGTTTCAAAATCTTCCCACTCTGAAGGCTAAATAAAAAAAAGATCGTTTACAGACCCCCGAAACGCCGGCTTCGTGTGGATGAGAGGCTGTGTTTGGTGAAAAATTTGTGCGTTTAGGCCAGGGTTCGGCTTCGTGTGGACGGGGCCTAACAAAAGAAGCCAAATGACCCCCATTCCAAATGGGTGGACCCCTTTGTTTGTTCCAATTTGCATGTTTTCTAAACAAAAACAAGGGTTTTTTTGGGCTACGACATAAAGCCTGGAACTCATTGCTATTTCTGATATTTGAATTGAAAAAGCTTCCTGGATGGGAAGCGAAACAACTTCAAACTTGGAAACAAAGTCCAGTGAATTATTTTAAATTTTTAGTTTTGGAATGACTATTGACCTGGATGACTGAGAACCTTCACCATCAGGTATAAAAGAATAAAAATAGGAACAACGTGTCTGGTTAATTACATTCAGGGTCCTGTAATACTATGATAGATCCAAAAATCTCATTATAAAAGTATAGACACATCAGCATATATGGAGGGTTATTAGAAGAGACAACGTTAAATAAACTATGAAAAAACATAAAAAATATGACAGGAAACACATACATATACCATGAAATAATTAAATGGAAATGGACCATGAGATATCCTGTTAAATAACTAAATGTACTATATATTTATTTACAGTTATTAGGTGAACAATTCCAGCCTCTTTGATCTTTAAGATGTTAGTGAAGAACATCAGTGGGCGGGTCTAACTTGGCTCCTGCTTAGATTTTTGGCAGCTCCCTTTAGGCTACGCCACAGCTGGCTTTTTAGGGGACATAACTTCCTCAGTTAACAGTAAGCTTAATAGATAGAATTCAGACTAAAACAGAGGTTTTAATTATTTCATGATGATGAAACTAATAAATTACAAAATATATATTTATTCATTTCATATCCATTCATTCCAAATGGGCACAAGGCCTAACACCCTACCTGTGAAGCAGTGAATGTCACAGGCAGCTCCAGCTGCTTTAAATGCTTTTATATTTTCAGGATAAAGCTCAAAACTATCCATGTAACCCTTTAGTCACATTGTTTTTTTCTTTGATATCAGCGCTATAAAATCTGTAGAGAACTGCTGAGCTAACTGGGAGAGGCTTTGAGCACCACAGATTTCACGACGTGACAGTGGCGTTACTTTTTAAGGTGTAAATGTTGTAAAATGATCTAAAGTACCTGTAAGGCCAGCAACTATGTCGATCTGTAGGGGAAATTTAAGCTTTGCTTGTGACTAAGAGTTCTTAATTATTCAGGAGCAGATCTAAGACCATGTCAGCACATTAGAGAAATCACAGCAAACAGCTCCATAGAAAATTAGCTATTTTGCTAAAAGAAAGTAAAAAGTATATATATATATATATATATATATATATATATATATGAGGACATATCTTAATCCGGTTTTAAGTTTATATTGAACCACTTCTCTTTATAGTACTGGTAGCAATGCAGTGCATTGCTATGCTTCATGATAGATGGAGTTGAGAATTTGTAAAGAAGAAAACGTAGCCATTCTCTGTGAGCCAGCATCGTGTTTATGCTAACTCATTTTTTTTTTTTTTGCTCTGCAGAGCTCTAAGGTTTTGTTTACCATTTCTTTGTCATGATTCTTGACTCTAGTGCTGGTTTGATTTATGGTTCAACATGCCTGTAAGCTCTGCCCTGTTTCCGATCAGCCTCCATCTGATTCACCTGACTATATAACCAGCTCTCAGATCTGTCTCTAGTGCCAGATTATTAACAGCCATCGGTGATTTTAATCCACCGAGGTGATGATGGCCCCTTCGCTGGTCCCCTACAATTCCTTTTTATACACCAATCTTTGTACTGAAATATGGTGGAGAAGCATCAATTCAATTCAATTTATTTTATAGTGCCAAATTACAACACATGTCATCTCAAGGCCCTTACCATTTACTAGATCATACAGTTAAATTGATTCAAAGTTTTCTATCTAAGGAAAACCAGTTGATGCATCGACTCATTGACTCGAAGGCCATCCCTCAAACTAAGCCTGCTTGTAACAACAGTGGAGAGGAAAAACTCCCTTTTAACAGGAAGAAACCTCCAGCAGAACCATCAGTTCCCTGCAGGGATTAAAGCAAAAAAAAATCCTGAACCTGAACTTTTTCAACAAAGGCAAGAAACTGGCTATATGTATATATATATATATATATATACACTATATTGCCAAAAGTATTTGCTCACCTGCCTTGACTCACATATGAGCTTAAGTGACATCCCGTTCCTAATCCATAGGGTTCAATATGACGTCGGTCCACCCTTTGCAGCTAGAACAGCTTCAACTCTTCTGGGAAGGCTGTCCACAAGGTTTAGGAGTGTGTTTATGGGAATTTTTGACCATTCTTCCAGAAGCGCATTTGTGAGGTCGCACACTGATGTTGGACGAGAAGGCCTGGCTCTCAGTCTCCGCTCTAATTCATCCCAAAGGTGTTCTATCGGGTTGAGGTCAGGACTCTGTGCAGGCCAGTCAAGTTCATCCACACCAGACTCTGTCATCCATGTCTTTATGGACCTTGCTTTGTGCACTGGTGCACAGTCATGTTGGAAGAGGAAGGGGCCAGCTCCAAACTGTTCCCACAAAGTTGGGAGCATGGAATTGTCCAAAATGTCTTGGTATGCTGAAGCATTCAGAGTTCCTTTCACTGGAACTAAGGGGCCAAGCCCAGCTCCTGAAAAACAACCCCACACCATAATCCCCCCTCCAACAAACTTTACACTTGGCACAATGCAGTCAGACAAGTACCGTTCTCCTGGCAACCGCCAAACCCAGACCCGTCCATCAGATTGCCAGATGGAGAAGCGCGATTCGTCACTCCAGAGAACGCGTCTCCACTGCTCTAGAGTCCAGTGGCGGCGTGCTTTACACCACCGCATCCGACGCTTTGCATTGCACTTGGTGATGTATGGCTTGGATGAAGCTGCTCGACCATGGAAACCCATTCCATGAAGCTCTCTGCGCACTGTTCTTGAGCTAATCTGAAGGCCACATGAAGTTTGGAGGTCTGTAGTGATTGACTCTGCAGAAAGTTGGCGACCTCTTCGCACTATGCGCGTCAGCATCCGCTGACCCCGCTCCGTCAGTTTACGTGGCCTACCACTTCGTGGCTGAGTTGCTGTCGTTCCCA